GAAAAAAGTACTGGAAAGAACTACCAACAATTTCTCCCAGACAAATTTTCATTTTTGATCATATCTATTTTTGATGCACTCAAGGATGAAACATATCAAGCCTAGGAAATAAGCATGCGTTTGAGTTATTTCCAAGAATAATCAAGATTTACAATGACCTTTTATTCTATGCAAGAAGTGTGATGGGTACAGAAAAAAATCCTGAAAAGCAAGGAGATTTGCATCTGGCAGCAGCAAAGGGGGCACTGAAATATGCTCACTTTGCACAGAGGGCTACAGTGCCACATTATCACAGACAAACGAAGGGCTTGTATTAAAAATGCATAATTTAATCAAGAGGAAAAACTGCTAATCAGATGGAACTATGCAGACTTGATATTGATTTTTTAATATTAGTGTTATTAAATTCTGCTGTAATTTCTTACTGAATCATCCAAATGTAAATTAATATAAGGAGAAACATTTAACAAAGTTACAGGACCAGATCAAACATTCCTGCTCATTTGCGAGCATCCCACTGACTTGCACTACCAGGATGGCATGAAAGGCTCAGCACAGAACACTACAGATGCCAGCTGAGTGGGTTTCCCCTGGGCAGAGCAGCTCGCAATGAGCCCTGATGCAATGGTTCGCAGAAGAGTGGCAGCCGAGGGCCCAATGCAGAGCCATAACCAGAGCACAGCCACAGGGCTGCCAGCTCTGCTCCAACACCTCACCACCAAGACCATAGATATTCTCTCCAGACCTAATCAACTTCCAGAATTAATGCCTGCCCTGAGAAAACAGGTGGGCAAAGCAGCTGTGCAGGAAGGGACTGTCACTTGCCAAGTGAAACAGCCCCCTGGGGTTAAAGCGAGAAGACCCCAAGTCCCTTCGCTCATTTGAGCCTTTCCGATGCGGCAAACCTCCACAGAGAGATGTGCTCGTCCTGAAACTCTGCCAAGGAACTTGGAGCTCACATTTCAGGCCACAAGCCTGCTTCAGCCTGCTCAAATTACAGCAAGAAAGTCACTCTGCAACACCCTTCTTCCAGAAAACTGAGAATTATAAACTGTGACTTGAGTTGTAACAGCACTTCAAGCCCTGGCCCCACTGTTTCAAGCATCATAGAAACACCAGAAAAATTACACACAGGCACTTTCCCTTTGTCAATTAGAACATAATCACTGTAGAGCAGATATTATTTCATTTTGCTTCTACAGCATCTTGTACCAAAAGGTCCTCATCTTTCAGACAAATCTGAACGCACACATATACATTTAATGGGAACATTTAATGTTAAAAATTGGCTCCTGATGACACTTCATTTGATTTCCACATACAAAAGAAAAAGATGTACAGCAGGAAAGCGAGAGAAATTAAACAGCATATGTGACCAGCAATAGACAAAATTGCTCATTTTGCAAAAATAGCTATATACTCCTCAATTAAAAGCTGATGTCAGTCACACTTCTTACTTCTTCATTTTCTGCTATTTACCACAGGAGTGTTTTTGATGCTGCTCACATGAGGAGATAAATAAAGCTGAGCCAGATTTTCTCTGCTTCATTTTTCTCACTGTTTTTACCAGCTGGTACCATTCTCTGATAGCAGGTCCTTCATGAGTGTAACACCATCACACTGCACACACACAGTTACTGGTAACAGCAGATAATGGCCAGGAAGCTGCTGCTGCTGCTTGAGACTCCCTGCTATGCTACACCAGTGTTAGTGAAGAGTAAACAATAATAACGTATCCACTTTTCTCAGCTTATGGTAAGGTATTCAACATTCACTGCAGCCACTGGCAGCACAGGGTGGGTTTGCAGAGGCATTTACCTGGCAAATGCTGCAATACTGCAAACTCCATATTCTTGAAGAACAAGTATGAGGTATGCGCCTCGCAGCACCCATCCTGCTGTGTGCCAGGGTTTGTGGGTGCTCTGGCTAAAAGCAGTGTGTTAAGCCAAGCCACCACACGTGCCCTGCAGTTCACACTCGGATTAAAGTTGGCAGGGTAATGTTCTTTTGAGCTGCAATCCTACCGTGGCAGCATATACTGAATGAAAGGAAAAAAAAGGGGAGAAGTCTAGCTACAAAGGCAAACTCACCAGAATTTTCAGAGCAATTTCACAGGTTTAGGAGATGCAACCAAATCACAGTACTATGACCAGGCCCAGGAGCAAGGCAACAGGGGTTACACATACATGAGACCCTTGCTAAGCAGCAACCAAATCCTAAACATTTCAGTATCAAGAATCACAGAATCACCAAAGTTGGAAAAGATCTCCAAGATCATCCAGTTTAGCTGTCCACCTACCACTAATATTTCCCCACTAAGCCATGTTCCCCAGTACAACCTAAATGTTTCTTGAACACCTCCAGGGACAGTGATTCCACCACCTCCTTGGGCAGCCCATGTCAGCGTCTTAGGTTGGAAGGAACAATAAGGATTACCTAGTTCCAAAACCCCTGCTGCGGCAGGGTTGTCACCCACTAAATCAGGCTACCTGAGGCCTTTCAACCTGGCTTCTTTGGGCAAATAAGTGCTTTTGTCAGACTGTAAACATTTCTGATGTTAGGCAGTTATTCCATTTAGAAAACATGGGATAGCTCCCGGGCCAACAAGAGCTGCCCCAGACCGCTTCTTGTCTGCATCAGAGCTGGCACAACTTTCTTTGTATCTGAAGACTTCTGGCTGCCCTGAAACCTCCTAACAGCAGAGTTGTTCTGTTACCAGGGACTGAGAGAAGACCCAAGGAGCCAGGAGGCTACAGCACACAGATTGACTGATTTCAAAGCACGGATGGGCCCCTGCCCTTCAGCTGCAATGGGATGCTGCTGGTTTGGATGCAGCTTGTCTGGGATGACTCCCAGAAAAATGGAGTAGCTAAAGCCATTACATTTCCTGCAACTCTTAAAAGACCAAAGCACTGACATTGGCATTCTGTTTCCAGAGCCTTTTTCATGACCAACTTATCCTGTGGAGGCTGTTCCAGGGTTAACTGTGAACTGAAAAGGTGAAGGAGAACACCAATCAAGAGGACAACTCTTAACTCCATGAAGGTTTTGGGAACAAAAAACTGGAAGGAAGAATTAGCAATTGAATTCCTCTTTATTAGAGGGCAAACCATTTTTGAAAGAAGAAATTATTAAGATAAATATAAAAGCTGAGCAACAGGTCTGGAAGGGAAAAAAATGATGGAGTTTCCTGCTAAAAGCATTGCAGCTGTCTTGTCTTACACTTTATTGGCCTCTAGTGGAAAACAGAAGCTATGTCCTGAGATCACAGAACTTCATTTACAGAGCACAGGGGGAAAAAATACCACTCCCCACACAGAGTTCATATTTATGCTTGATTAAGGAAGCAATGCAAGCAACAAGAAGGGATGACTTAGCTACATACACAAGATTGATATTGCTAATATTCAGGAAGGATGCTGAGTTAAATGTTAGTTCTTTTCTATATATGTGACTGTTTCCATTTAGGTATACCTTTTAACTGTCTGCCATAATACATTCAAATACAATCTCACTTGCAGAGGCACTACCTTTTGCAGTATTTGTTCTGGAGCCATTGAATGTGCTCCACTGAAACACAACCCTTTTAGCACTCTGAGCACAGCAGCTTGGCTATAATGTAGTCCAAAATGAGGAGTTTAGTCGCTATCATTGGCAAACACAGGCTCACAATATATGCCTGTATGAAAGACAGCAACTGTGATAAGCAGCGCTGCCTAGGTGTAAATTTAGTGACTAAAATCCCTTTGCTCCAGTTTCTATGGATATAAACAAGACGACAAGTCTCCTCAATCCATTCAAAACACAAATAATAATCAAAAGAAAGCACTAAGCACGATCACAGGAACAAACCTCTGAACAAGCAAGTCAGTGGAAAGCAGAAGGCTCAGTACAAAGACCTGAATAATGTAAAAGAGCAAATAATCTGTTGGACTGAGCAGAGAGCTTCCAAAACCAGAACCAGCTATAAAGCCAACACTGCCCCCAGCAGAACTGCACAAACAAAAAATGAATAGATACCTCCTGCATGGGAAAGGAAGGCAGGTTGCTGGTACATGCTGGCCTCCTTTGGTAGAGTACAAACCTGTGTGCATGCTGCCAACAGCTTGGCGCGGTGCTTCCCTCTGGTGCCTGTCTGTCTTCCGGAGCCCAGTGCAGTGCAGTGAGGTGTGCTCCCAGAACAGGATCTGTCACTGGCTACTGAACAAATCCAAAGAAACATCTGACTTGTTTATTCTGGTCAAATCATTTGCATTCCCCATTTGCCTTCAAAGAGAGAAGGGAACGGATACCAACCACTATCCTGCTAATATTTTTGCCAGTTCCACCACTCACCTTGTATGAATGTGAGGGAGAAACTGAAATGTAACCAGCAGCAGGGAAAGTCAAAGCAGTACCAGGCTGCATCTTGCTCAAGTTCCGTCAACTCTGTACTGAGGACCCAAGTGCCTTTTCTCCCCAGATTTAGTAGAGAGCAACCTAAAGCAGCCTAAATGTTACGCTGCAAGTTTAAAATAGTCAAACACCGGACTTCAAGCCTCTGAATCCTCAGAGCTGTATGAACTCTCTATAAATTATGTTTTGTTTCTTTTATGAGGGGGAAAAAGTCAGAATAAATGCATTTAATCTGAGCTATAAAGAAAGAGTTGCTCTCCACCTGCTACACAGAATGGGATCTCAGAGCACCACAAAACAGGTACGCTGTCAGCAGGACCAGTGGGTGATAGAGCTTCACGAGGATGAGGTAGCACCAGAAGCAAAGTTACTGCAGCATAGGAAAGGTTTTTCCCTGGTGTCCAGAGAGGCAGGTAGACAGCTTTCCATACCTTGTCCTTTGACTTTCTTTGCACAATGTAACTCAACCTGCAGTTAATTTCTTAGGCTGCAAATCATTTGGCCCTGGTCTGATGTATATCTTGAAGCATATGTGTGTGGATAATATCCAACTTGGAACAGAAAAGGGGAAAAAAAAAAAAGAAAAAAGCACAAGCCTTAACAGATGAGTTTAAACTGCTTATCTGCAGAGGAGAAAGTTTTATTTTAGTAACAGCAGAATAACATGAGAAAGCAGTTAGTTCTACACCAGCAGACCACATACCAGCATAACCAATTTGCTTCCCACAGGAGAGAAGGATCTTTGTACCTGCAAGTACTGAAAAGCACCAAAAGACTAACATGACAAAACCAATCCTGAGCTGCCAAAAGCATGCAATAAGTGTGACTTATAATAACCTCTTCTGCCACCACCAGACAATGCAGAACTTCTGAGGCAACTCTGGAGCTCTGGATATAAGCATTTGCTTTTATATCCACCACATCTCAAGGCACAAATGTTCAGAATTAGATAATAACAGGGCAACAGTTCTATAGCTTGTGGTGCATTTGGTGCCAATAAGTTATATACTGTACCTGGAACTGAGCTACAGTGTAACCACTCTAGACCACTGCATAACCTGTCTCCTTCCTCTGTGTGGCAGCACAAACCAGCAGATTGGGATAATTTTGGACACTGGTACCGCCACTGTGACCCTGAGCTCTTCTGCAATCTCAGGTCACTTCTGCTGTGACAGGGGACTCTAAGTTCTGGATATTCCCAAATTCCTAATATTCTCACGTCTAGCATTTACCTGCCACACGTGCTGCAGCCTGGGAGATGAAAAGGGTTTAGCGTACACAATTGAGGCAGTTGGTCACTCCTCTGTCTGAGGCACAAACTGGTCTTAGTATTTAGCAGCAGCAAAACTGTTACCTTAGACCGGTACACTGTTGCTTAAGAAGATGCGTTACTGCTTGAAGAACGATTTCCCTTTATGTCCATAAATGCATTCCAAGTAGCTTGTACTTTGGTTTCCATGCACTAAGATAAAAAGTTGAATTTTACTACATGCAGAAGAAATATACCCTTCACCTTCTTTCTTGCCCTACAAATTGTCCACTTTACCTGTTAATCGCACCTTAAAACTTACGAAACATTTTGGACCTTCCGCTGACATGGATCTCATTTCTGGTCACTGGAAAAACTGAAAAGACACCCCACAATCCTTCCCTCCCCCAAAAAGATAATCAGTACAGAGATACAAGACAAAGACTTGTTGCTACCTAAAAATTAAAGCTGAGTCAATTTACAGATTTCACTAGAACTTCTACATAGTTATGATTGAGTCTAACAGGTACAGGAAGGACATGTTCTGATTGATTCATCAAGTTTAAGGTAAGTCAAAGAAAAAGGTGCATTACTTCCCGCTTAGCAAAATGCAGTATGTTATATACGTGGTTACTGCTTTGTTTCTGTCCGATGCATTGATTTGACCCAATTAAAAGAAACCCAATGTTATGGATTGTTCCAGATGAAGGCATCTCCGCTCCTACTTACAACACTGTGGAAAAGAAAAGCAGTAATGATTCCTCGTGTTAGACCACAAGCACAGGAGAGCATGACCCTGACTGAATATCCGAGGGAAGAGTCCTGAGATTCATTTCCTGCTCAAGGGACTCAACAAAGCAAACTAATCAGCAGCTCCAAAGAACAAAACAGCACTTGAATCAGTTTTAAGCTCTTTGTGCAAACACAGCATCCCCTTCCCACATCCCACGCTGGTGGGTACATGCACACACTTCTCAGACAGGCAAAAGCGGCAGAATACAGAATGAGTTTTATGTAGGCTGAGGTCTTAACCCAAAGCCTGATTCTCCATCGCTTTAATTGTAAATATTACCTGGAATTGAAACAGGTAATTGGCTTCAAGAACTGCAGGTACAAAGTCTGGTCTTCAACGAGGCCCTTCCTGGCAAAATGCTAACGAGCGTTGTAAGGGCATAGCTGATGGGAGTTAACAGAACATTCCAAGAGTGGAAAATTCCTCTTGCTCTTTTCTTTTTTCTTCCCATAGCATTTAAATACCTCAGTACACTATCATTTTTAGCATAGGTCACTGTTGCTCAGGAGAACATTTATTCTCACTCTCCCACCCTCAAAATTTTTTTCTATAATGTCAGAATGGTTTTAATACTGTTCCAAACTCCAAAGTTTTAAATGTCAGACAAGCCTACAACACTTAGTTTACAATAAGAACAGCAAGTTGAGCTGTGGCAAAAGTGCATTATAAACAAACAAACACAAAAACCCACACTAACTGCCAATGCCATGCACTATATACTTGAGCCCAAACTGGATTTTAAACCTTTTCCTAGAGAGACCTACTTTTGCTACTGACATTAATATTTTTGAGAAAATGTGTGAGTTGCTGTAGAATTAATAGTAGATCTATGCAGATTGAAATTCCCAAGAGATTAAAAAACAAACAAACAAACTAACTAAAAGCTGACACTCCTGGCAAATATAAAACTAGTGGACAAGTTGTCAAACATCAGATCTCAAGAGCACTAAAAGATTATGACAATGCAGGAGTTCAGTTCTGTTCATGATTTACCTCTAAACTAAAAGATCCTACAACATTATAAGCTGGAGCTCCTGTATACCTATGGCAGTAACACCAGAACCAAAGCCACAGTCAGGAACACTGTTTTTCAAAGACAATCTGGCAAATTGGTATATTTAACTTCCAAACTTCTTTTAGAAATTTGAGCAACTCCACTGAAACAGTTAACAGATTCACTGTTGATGCTCTTGTAACCACTCAATGTTATACATCATACATTATTTACAAGTCAAGCTCCTCATTTTCACGCAATTACTCACAATTTCAACCTTTCATCAACTACCAGAAAATTCACTTTTAAATGATTTAGAAAGGCAAAGAAATCAAAATGGGTTCGTATTATTTAACATTTATTGACAAGAAGGAAAAACTAATTTGTAACAAACCACATATTTACAATTTACAGAGGAGGAAAATACTCTTAAGACCAATGAAACTACACGCTCCAGTACTGGGACATATTTCTACCTGGATGGCAGTTAACAGTGTGTTCTTTAGAACTCCCTCCCATTAGATGATCTTCAGTCTGAAGGTGAACCTAGGGGGAAGAGGGCTCCGACAACACGCTTCCTGCAATTCGTCTAAAAAACAAAAAGAATAGAAATAAGCTCATCCAAATTAAGACAATCTTCAGTTACAAAACAATAGTGAAACATCTCTGTGCCAAAGTGTTAGTTACTGCCAGTAACAACTTCCTATTCTCTTCACAGCAGCAAAGATTTTAGAGCATCCACATATTCCAATGGTAAATCAATAAGAATATTAATGTCAAATAATAATTATAACTTGAAAAAAAGCACATTAGTCTAATTCAATTAAACACACTCTCTAACAAACTGGTTCCTCTGCATGAAGTTTGGAGCTGTCAAAGCTACACGTGGCTGGAACACTTTTTCCACGACCAGGATGTTTTTCACATGCACTATGGGGACGCTGTCTACTTCTACATTATGTATAAGCTTTGACTGGCAGACCCGTGAGTGTTGATTTAACAGGTGGATTTTGCTAATTGCGTGCCCCAAAATTCGAGCATCCAGCACCCATTGCTCTCAGTGTAATCTTTAACAGTTCATTCTATCATTTTCCAGAGGCTGGTGCATGATAAGGGACACGATATACCCACTCAGTACCATGCTCCTTGGCCCAGGTGTCTACAAGGCTGTTTCAGAAATGAGTCCCATTATCTGATTCAATTCTATCTGGGGTGCCATGTCACCATAAGACTTGCTTTTCAAAGCCAAAGGTCACTTGATATAGAGTTTACAATCAGACTGTAATCCAGAATACACATACTCCGAAAGTCCACAACACCAAAGGAAGCTCATGGAAATTTTTTGCTAGTTGCTTTGGATAGAGCAGTTATTTTGTTGATCATACCCATAAGGACCTGATGATATCTATTCTGCCATTTTATTCCTAAGAACTGGACCACCCTCCCATGCAGTTCCCTTGACCTTCCTTTGTTTCACGGCAAAGTTGGCGTCCAGAAGGATTTGGATTATTTTCTTCCCTTCCTCAAAAACTTCCTCTGCTACGCTGCCCCACCTGATGATATCATCAATGTACTGCAGGTGTTCAGGAGCTTCCCCCTTTTCCAAAGCTGCCTGGATCAGCCCATGGTAAATGGCAGGGCTGTTTCCTCCTCTGGAGTAGTTGATTCCAGGTGTACTGGATACTCCTCCAAGTGAAAGCTAACTGTGGCTTGCACTCTGCTGCCAGAGGAATTGAGAAAAACATGCTGGCAGTGTGAGTAATGGCATACAGCCAGCGATCCTGAAGGGCCACACACAGCTCACAGCCTCCTCAGTCCAGGTTCTTCTTCAGACACCAGAGAAATCACAACAGAAGAATTCTTGATCAGAAAAGTCAAACAGCAACAAGGTGTGAAAGGGCATATGACCCCATGTCAGCCAGATACCACCCGTAGTGAAGTGCACTGCCTCCCTGGGGCCCAGGTCAAGGATATTACTAAGAGACTCTCTGGTCTGGTTTGCCCCGCTGATCATTATCCTTTACTGACAGTTCAGGCTGGCAGAAATTAAATCACTGAAAGAAGCCTGAGGGCTATCAAAAAGGACCTCGTGGGTCTGGAGCAGTTAATGGACAGTGCAGGAGTACAGGTGGTGCTTTCAACTATCCCTTCATGCGGCAGCGAGGGATAATGAGAGGAGCAGAAGACTGAAGGTAAACACTACAAACAAATTAAGGAGTTATCCTCCAAGAAGGTAACAAGAACAGCTGCCCAGCTGAAGTGCCTCTACACCAACATCCACAGATTGGGAAACAAACTGGAGTTGGAGGCCACTGTGCTACTGGAAAACCATGATGCAGTTGCTATCACAGAAATCCGGTGGCATGATTCCCATGACCAGAGTGTGGCTGTTGACGGTTACAAGCTGTTCAGAAGGGACAGGCAAGGAAGAAGAGGAGGTGGCATCAGCCTTTGCATCAAGGGAAGAATAAAACACGAAGAGCTTGACCCTAAAAAATGGCTATAAGCAAGTCCAAAGCCTAAAAGTCAGAGTTAGAGACTGTGGCAATAAGGGGAGCCTTGTGGTTGGGGTCTACTACAGGCCACCTGATCAAGTGGAGCCTCTTGATTAAACCTTTCTCCAGCTACAGGAGGGTTCATGTGCACAGGCTCTCACCTTGTTGGGGGACTTCAACCACCCAGATATCTGCTGGAAAAGTAGCACGGTGAGCTAAAGGTGATTCAGGGGGCTCCTGGACTGTACTGAGGATAACTTCATGAGATAAGTAGCAGTCCCACCAAGGGAGAAAACAGTGCTGGACCTTTTGCACTTAATTTGAATGAACTGATAGATAACACAAGGATAGGAGGCTGCTGAGCCATACTGACCATACAATTGTGGAGTTCATGTTCTTGAGGAATATAAGACAGATAAAGAGTAAAATCAGGAAGCTTAATTTTAGGAAAGTCAAATTTCAGCTCTTCACGGAGTCAGTCAACAAAACCCCTTAGGAATCAGTCCTCGAGGACAAGGGAGCACAGCAGAGCTTTAAGAAAGCTTTCCTTTGGGCACACTAGCTCTTTATCCCCAAGTGAAGGAAGTCAGGAAAGAAAAGCAGAAGGCCAGCATGGCTGAACCAGGACCCGCTTGTCAAACTGCAGAGCAATAAGAAAATGCACAGGCAGTAGAAGCAGCGATAGGTGCCGCAGGAAGAGTATAAGGAACCTGCTAGGCTGTGTAGGGATGGGGTCAGGAAAGTCAAGGCCCAGCTGGAACCAGACTTAAGGAAAGAAGGGTAAGAAAGGCTTCAATAGGTACATCAACCAGAAAAGGAAAGCCCAAGACAGCATATCACCCCTTACTGAGCAACATAGTTAGGCTGGTAACAGAAAAGGAGAAGGCTGAGGTAACAATATTTTTGCCAGTCCTACTGAAAAAAAACCTGGTGGTACTGGTGCACTGGAAGGTGAACACAAGCCACTAGTGTGCCCTCTCAGCCCAGAGAGCCAACTGTAGCCAGGGCTGCATCAAAAGAAGCATGGCCTGCAGGTCAAGGGAGGTGATCTTGCCCCTCTCCTCTGCACTGGTGAGACCTCACCTGGAGTGCTGTACCCAGATGTGGAGTCCTCAATACATGGACCTGTTGAAGCACTTCTAGAGGAGGACCACAAAAATGATCCAAGGGATGAAACACCTCTCCTACAAAGACAGGCTGAGAGAGTGCGTGTTCAGCCTGGAGAAGGCTTTGAGGTGACCTGATAGCAGCCTTTCAATACCTAAAATAGGGCTATAAAAAAAGAAGGGGACAGATTCTTTAGCAGGGTCTGCTATAACAAGACAAGGGCAAATTGCTTCAAACTGTAAGAGGGAATAATTAGACTGGATTTCAGAAGTTTTTTAAAGTAAGGGTAGTGAAGCATTGGGACAAGTTGCCCAGAGGTGGTGGACGCCCCATCTCTGAAGACATTCAAAGTCAGGCTGGACAGGGCTCCAAGCACTGGATGTAGCTGTAGGCACCCCTGCTCATTGCAGGGGAATTGGGCTAGATGACCTTTAAAGGTCCCTTCCAACTCAAACAATTCTATGATTCCATGATATTTGTGCTCATGCAAATCTGCAACAGTGGGCACATGCTTCCATGCTAGACCTCTGTGCCAAAAGCATTCCCACAGGCAACAGGAATGAAGATGTAAGAGCAGGTGAATGCCTGCTCTAGGCTGCCAACATAAAATCAGGACATGGCGTGGTGCCTAAGCGATGGCAGAGCCACAGAAAAATTGTGCCAAGGCAAAAGATATCACCAGCATGCTGAATTAGTGCTACAAGAGGTGCAGAAAGCACACGGTGATGCTCTGTGTTATGTTTGGCCAGGTGAAATGGCATTGAAAAGGATTCTTTTAGCAATGCAGAGCCAGCCTCATGCTTGAGGGATGTGGTTCAAGGACAACCATGTGTGCCTGGAGAGGTGTCAGTTCCGCTTCTGCAGTCTGAAAAAAGGCAGATGACAATGATAAACACCTTGCCAGTAATGTCCTAAGCCAACCTTCTTGGGATTAAAACTATGAAGTCTTTAAGAGGACAGAGGCCAAAGGAAGCATTGCATCACTTCACTCAGCACGAGAACTGGGAGCGTTGCCAGGCCTTGTACAAAGCTCAAAGGAGAGGAGCCAGAGGATCACCTCTGAAATAATTCAAATACCTGGAACTGAATTAGAAAAGTAATAGTCACTGCAAACAGCACTAACCAAAAAAAAAAAAAAAAAAGAGACCTTTGAAGAGGGCACTGGAATACTCCCCCTCCCCCAAATTACTTCAGGCTGCAAAACAAAAAATGCAGGAAGAGGATATTCTAACTTGATACAGGATGTGAGAGAATTGAGATGGTGGCAAATGAATGCCTCCTTACACAGCCACTACAAGGAGCAAAAGGAGAGACACAAAGACACACCTTGAACAGATAAGGCAAGGTAACAACTGCCAGCTTGCATAGCAGGATACAGCGCATCACTCTGGTAGCATATGTGTATAGATTTCCACAAAGAAAAGGAAGTTGTGATCAACATTTTTGTAATACACATAATACTTTTTAGTATTACAGTTTCAGGAATAATTTGAGTTCAAGAAAAATCAAGAGAAAAACCTGGACACTTAAGCAAGTTCTTAAACCATGCATATGTCCAATACATTAAAAAAATGTATTTGTACTTCATCTGCACACATAGTCATATGGAAATGGCCAAGGAGAGGTGGAAGATTGGGGCATGCACCTCATTTGCAGCCCTTAGCATCTTGCCAGAAAGTTGAGCTTTGCAGCAAAACAAATGCAAGCTTAAAAAACCCTTCAGAAGAATAGCTAAATTGTTTTCAGTAAAAACAGTATTACTGTAAGCAGTAAGCCCCTCTTCCTTCTCTTTTTTCCCCCTCATTGGGAAACACAAGTATGTCATGCAATGCAGCAGCGTGGGTGTTAGATGTAAGCAACAGAAGCCATTTCATGACAAGGTAATGACTTCTGTGAACTTAAGTGCTCTTAGCAACCAAACAAAATGAAGCTGTTATAAATTCTGATGAGATAATCCACTCAAAGTAATTTGTTTGGAAAGGTTAAATAGGATGCTAAGATGGTACACTGCTGAACAAAGAGGTAAAAAAAAAAAAAAAAAATCAAACATTTAGTGCTGCTTTTTCTTCAAAACATATTGAGACTTTTTTTGCTAGCTAGAATTCTGCTCAAGTCAGGCAGCCGTGTTCAGATTCCCACACCAGCTTCTGCATTAAGTTACACTAAGAGTGCACAGTAAAGCTGAGTTGCTTAAGAAGCAAACGTGTTCTAATATGAAGAAAATCAGCCATAATAAAGTCAGAAAGCATTTGCTGGATGCAGAAAGGCCTCTGCAATTATCACTTAATTGTCCTTCATGGGCCAATACTGGGAGTCTCATACTTTCCCCTTAAGGTTGATCCCTCCTTCAGCACTTCTTCTTAACCGGCTACTTAATTAGTCTTCCTTCCTGGACTTAATTGTAAATTTGTTTTGATTAATTAGCCTCAGAGCTGACTTAGCGCTTACTGAAATACAGGAGAAGTGCTTAGTTTCTTCAGCTTATAGCCTACTGTACCCTATGGGAGCCCCTGCTTTGTCAGCATTAAAATTTCCAGTTCAGATTGTGGAAGAACTTTTTCGTAATTAGTTTCTTTCATTGTAATTACCCCCTCCATAATACAACACAAAAGCGGTGATAAAGAAAGGCCAAGATTAAATACGTTCACGTCTCTTGTCCAGAGGATTCTATTTCATGTTTACTAGTTCAATCTTCTAACTCTAGTCAAGCTAAATGCAACTCATCATAGCACTAACCCAATCCCAAGCCAAGAGAGTAAGCTGCCAGCAAGACACCTGCATTCTGATGGCACCAACACCAGAAAGGTTTCCCTCCCCTTCAGAAAAGTCACGTTCTGCTACTGAATTTCATGGAAAACCCTTAGTGCAACCCTAGGCAAGCCAGTCTGCAACAACTTTGGACACCAGAACACTTATTTGAGAAGCAGTGTAGCTCTTCATTATGTTCACATCTCTCATACCATTCCTCTCCCTCTTTACACCATGTTGATACCAGAAGACACCCACATGGTGATACCTTATCTCTGATATCTTGATCCATTCTTGCTTCAGCTAATGATGCAGGAAAGGGCAACTTCCACACAAGCATGTAAAAACATTATGAAATAAGTGATGTGCATCATCAGCTATCCTACTGTAATGAGTTTATTATTTATTTGAAGTTTTGGCAATTGAAAGTGTTCAGGGGAACAAAAGAAAGGGTGCTGCTGGAGCGGCCTCTGAGAAAGGAATGAGAAAGCTGTGAGACAAACAGATCTGCAATCAGTGCAGGAGCAGCAGGCAAATCCTGAAGGAGGCCACAGCCCATGGAGAGTTCCTGCAGGTGCAGGACTCGGGCTGGAGCTGCAGTCCATGAAGAGGAGCCCAAGATGGAACAGATGATCCATCAGGAACTTTGGTCCTTGGGGATCCCTGCTGGAGCAGTCCATTCCTGAAGGACTGCACCCTGTGGTATTGTTCCCTGCTAGAGCAAGGGGGGGGGGGGGGGGGCAAGGAGAATGGAACAGGAGAAACTAAGTAGTATGGACCCTACTGTTCAGCTCAAGTAAGAGTGAAGAAGGAATTGTGAGCAAAGCTCACCTTTCTAGGGAGAAGGGAAAAGGTGTTTTTAGTTTTATTTTTCACTGTCCTACTCTTATTTTTGACTTGCAGTAATTTAACCTTCCCAAGTCTGTTTGGGCTATGATGGTAATTGGTGAGTAATCCCCCTGTCCTTATGTCAAGTCGGGAGCTTTTTCATCTTTCTTTCTCCTTCTGCCCTGCTGAGGGAGAGGAGTGAGAGACCGTGGCTGGCTGCTGGCCAAGGTCAACCCACTGCACCTACTCATTTTATAAACTTCCCACACAGCTATCAAGAGCACTGCAATTCTTCAGTTTCCAAATTTAGAAGTCCTTACCTATCAAGCTGCAAAGAGAAGCGTAAAATCTTACTTATCTTTTTCTGTGAACACTTAGATTTACATCTCAATTCAACAGACTGAGAAAATATACACTTGGCTTCCTTCAGCTCATTTCATTTATTGCTTGTCTTGTACCCTAAACAAGAAAAGACTACAGAAATGCAAAGCACATGGAGTTTTACAGTCTTTTGTGCATCTTTGCTTGGGTACAGCAGCTCAAACGAAGGAAAAAAAAGAACACAGGCTTATTGTTGGGGCTCAAGAATACTGAGCAACTCCTGTAACATGTTCATTCCGTAATGCTAAGCAGCCAACTGTTTTGACTGGTGCCAACTATTTGTTTTCATTTTCAAACCGGACCATAGAAATCAGTTTAGTTGTGAATTCTAAAGGAAGGTTTTCCTATATGACTAGAGAAATGCATCAGTGAGAGCTCTTCTGACTCAGCCCGTGAGCACCCACATAAAGCAATAGGATATTAAGGTGTTCACTTGCAGCCGTCAACGCCATGAGAGCCACGTTCCACACCCTGCAGATGGATGTACTGATGGAGTCAATCACTGCTTAAATGCTGTATTACAGTACACATCATGCAGTAGAGCGTATCAAGAGAAAGGCAAGAAACATTTCTTCATGCTGAAATGCATTTTTAGCTATTACAAAAATGAGGAAAATGCTCGTTAGTTTATATTGTATTCCTCAGATGTTAATTTAATTACAGATAACTAATTCAGGTGCATACTCGAAAAAATAGAAGGAATTGTATATGCACTTCAAAAGTCTGTTTTATCACTGCTGTTTATTTCTCTGTAATCACTCAGCTCACATTCTCCTACGTTGTGTTTACCAAGTAATATAAATATGGATGCACACACATCTGATGGCTTTGCAACCATTCTCCTATATCCTCCTTTAAATTACACAGAAGAGCTTTCTTCACTAAGACAAACAATTTTGTAACAAAATGAAACCCTGAAAACATTAGATTTTTCTAAAGAACCTAATAAACACCAAGTCCTTTTTCTCAAAGGAAGCCACAGCCTTGAAAAATCTAACTTTTCCACTGTGGAGAGTCATTGCCAGTTAAGCTCCCTTAACGTGTTTCTAGGTTGCTATCAAAACACTCACCACAGGACACATTTACCATCCAACATTAAGTTTCAGCTCTCTCAACTACTGCTGACAGAAAGTAACGAGTTAACATCTTAAACCAGAGTTCCTCAAAGAACAGTCTATGTGCCCAAGTAGCAGCAGAGCATCCCGACTTGAGTTCACAGCACGTAACGTCAGCTAACAATTTGAGCATAACAAAGCAATTACAAACCTGGCTCCAATCCCTACTACTGTTAGAGATATCTTCTGTATTCTACTATAAACAAAACGTTGTGCTATCTGAACTGAATATATGAACCACTGAAGTCTAGGAAATAATTTAAGCACTGTTTTAAAAGCTGCAATGTGGAAAAAGCATTAGAGAGACTCTAAAAGTATATATTTAAGCTACAGCCCACAACATGTTCTGCATGGGCTATTTCCTTAGCATTTTACGCAGTCCAGACTTCACCACATATCTGTTTGAAACCATCATAGTAGTCTGTGGAAACTGGATTACTAAACAAAGTAGAAAATACACCAATTGAAAGAATCACTTATTGGCAGGAAGAAAAATGCTAAGTTCTCAGATTTCAGAAGGCTTTTTCATATTAGTTTCTTTGCAATATCTCTTCCAACAAAGGAAAAACAGGAACTGCCAAAGGTTACCAGTAGTCTGACATACACAGCAATGTAGGAAGCAGGAGCCACAGCAAGACCAAGCAGAGGTGAAACATCAACTTTTTCCTTCCAATGACCAGTTCTCATTTGCCACACTGCACAACTCAGCACCCACAGGAGCCCTGGAATGCAAACAGAACTTTGCAACTCAAGCTGTAGATTCTCCTGCATTTCCATTTCCATGTACTACAAGACATCAAGTGTCAAGTTAAAACAAAAAATGCAGTCGAGACAATGAGGAAACAATCTAAGCATAACTCAGCTCCTGCTGTGCACTACTGTTTAAAAAAAAAAAAAAACAAAACACAACTGTGTGTGTCTGCAACTAGTTCAACTTGCATGCTAACAGAATGAACTCTGCAAGGTTCAGTGCCAAATTCTAATGTTAATGGAAACTGATAACAGAATTCAATTGACTTTACCTGCATTTGTAACACACTCTTCTTCCCAAAAGAATTCACAAAAGCCAAACCCTACTGAGTATAGATGCTAGTCAAGGACAAACAGCTGTGCTTGAAGCACCATCTAGTGGCAAATAGTGGAATTGTTCCTTTAGATACAAAAGGCAAGATTAAGAAGTACTTTGTAAAAAAGTGAATTTCCATTTTCTCTTTTCCTTCCCAAAATAAGATATTTTTTCTATAATGATAGAACATTGGAGCCACTTAAACTACTTTACAAAATCATGCTCTGTTTTCACTGCAGACCTAAAGATACTTCTTAGTCAACTTGCAGCAAAATACATGTCACTATTTCTTTAGTTTAAACTAACACTGTGAAGAAAAAGAACTGATGAAATGAATAACTGATTTGAGCAAGTACTTTTTCAAAACTGTGCAAACTGCAAGAAACATCCTTGACATAACTGATTTTACTACTCAAACAAAAAACACTGAGATGCTGCTCAACAGCGGAAATGTTTTGTGCATACTATGTTGAACATTTCACACAAGAAATCAGCTAGCTATGAAGCAACCAAACGACTTAGTCTAAAAAGTTACTTACTTTTCCAAACCCACAGTACTCCATTGACACTCAGTCACAGTTAAGAAGAACAAACTGGCACTTGTGGCAATCTGATGCTGAACTTGCACTTAAACATCTGCCACTTTCCAGCCTGTGGCAAGAACCCACCTGCATCCACTTCTGCTTAAAATATTCAGCAGGATGGATTCCTCATCACTTACTCGAGAACCAAAGAAAATCCACTCAAAACCTTGCTGCCAAGTTGAGAAAAGACAACAGCCAGGCAATGCTTTACCTCCATTGGAACCTACCAAACTAAAACACACTCCTGCAAAGTGGCAAGCTGCCTTGAGTTCTGTGACAATACACACCCACATTTTCCTTTAAGGCCACCAGCTCCACAGTCTATATACATTCACCAACACCTTCACAAGACATTCTTCTGCTATCCAATCTTAGCAGGCAAATGTTCTGGAAAGTTTGTTCTGCATTCTCTTCTTTCTGAACTCCCTGGTGGCCTTCAACACTAAAGTTTCTACTTTCCATTTTTCTACTTATGCCCTGACTGCTGGGAGACACGCTTTGGATAGGAGCAGAGGTTCTTTAGGTCTAGTGCTAGCCTTCTATTCTTTTCCAAGTGGAAAACTTCCAGATCTCTGTGGGCCTCCCTAAAGAGTTTAAAGCCTTAAAGACAGAAGGCTTTACGGGTGGGATTCCCTCAAGCAGTGGAGACAGCGTGTGACCATTTGGTAGCTGGCATGGCTCCAAAGCAGAAGGAATATTTTAATCTCACTAACCTTGAGGAGGCCAGTGAAGCTCGTAAGTTAGAAGTGCTGCCAAAATCAAGTTATCAGCTACAACTGACTTTAAAAGGAAAAAGAACCACCTTATTTTAAACCACTTATAAAATTTGAGGCTGAGCAGAAAATAAGTTGCTTCCCTGCAAACTTAACCTTGACTGCAAATAGTTTTTGGAAGAAGATGAGCTAAATGGTAATTGCCATACTCCTGTTTCATCTACTCAGGAATCCAGCGAGACCTAGACACCAAATGCAAAGATGCTATCTAACTTCTAAGTATGTACAAAGTCAGCCTTTCTATTCACTACCAGAAAGAATGCTTGAAAGAGAATGAAAGAAGTGTATGCATTAAATTCACCCATCTAAAACATCTCTCACACAGAAATCGTAGCCTCAGTGTCGTAGCCTTTTCAGACACACAGTTTACTTCTCACCTGTAAGGTTTTTGTTTGTTTCTTCATGGTAAGCACTAAAGCCAGTTCATCTTCCCTGCTTTAATTGGTACTCTAGATTTAATGTAAGATCATGGTCACGGCTGCTTACTAGGTCAGTCCTCAATCCTCAAGTATTCAGCCCCTGAACAGTTTCCAATTCAATTTTCTCTTTCTCTTCTAGAATTGCATTGACCACACTTAGAAAACACTCTACCAGAGTAGCTGCAGCTTATTCTTATGTTCAGCCAGAAGGAACCTTGAAGAACATAGGAGACAAATGTTATGTGTACCATCTGCTGTCTAGACCTGGCTTCTGGAGTATGCAGTTTAATTACAGTTTTCCCAAAGGTCATCATTATAATTTGTTAATCAAAACAAAAGAAGATATTAAAAATAACATATTTGGCAATGACCTATCACTGTTACACAAAATAAAGCTATCCACAACATCCAGGGCTTTAATATAAAAAATAGAACTAATACAAATTTTATGTACTAAACACACCCCTGCTAGACGAGGAAAAAACTGCTGCCATGAACATATTAGAAGAATGCTGGACTCTAGCACACAAGCATTCCATCAGTCCATCTCCTAGACAACAATTACTGAAGTACAAACAGTATGGCAAAGAGGGATTATTCTGAGATTTATATCAGGCAGACAATAAGTCCAACAGATGTTAGCTGAGTTATCTGACATTGTCAAAATCAAGTGCTAAGCATTTTTGGGAGATTAGGTAGAAAAGTGCACTTTGGAAAAATATGTTTTTCCCACCAGTTTTCAAGTATATCTTACTGTCCTTGGATGAGAAAAGTGCCTGTCACAAAGCGAGGCCCTTCACTGCTTCACTGAAGTTTGAGAGTAAACGTCTGAGTTGGTTTTGTAGCTCTATGTTGATTTCATCAGTTCTGCCTTAGTTTGTAAAGTTAAGGTGGGTGCACTTAACCATACTTTGTATGCAAAAAAAAAAAATTTCAAAAAAATACAAGAGCTTAAAAAGTATTTCAAGCAACTTCTTGGAAGAAAGTTCTTCACCTGTCATTTTTGAGTTGTGTGAAATGAAGAACACTTTCCTCGTTCAGAAGATTACGTACATTATATCCATTTCCTATAAATAAAAACAGAAAAGGTTTTCTTTAGAAGCCAACAGTAATTTTTGAAGTCCTGTCCTGACTTCAACAACTACATTTTTATTTTGTATATTTTACCAGTTTTAAAGCTGCTTGTTAAATGAGCCCTGAAGCCAAGGTAAGCAAGCAGTGTTTGTATCACAATATCTAGATCAGTTCATCAACCGTGCCCATTGTAGGGTCACACTCCCTTCTGCCTCATGAGTACTTCCCCATACTCTACTCAAACTTAACTCTCCCAACCATTCTCCTCAGTATTCCTTCCTAATACAGTAATTTAGTCTAATCCGTTCCCAACAAATTGATTTTTGAAGACATGCACTTACCTGCTGGAACATAGAAATAATCCCCTGAAGTCAGGTAATATGATGTCTTATGCAAGGTGATAATAATCTGGCCACGGATAACATAGAAAGCCTTAATAGAAAGCCAAAAGATTCTAAGATTAGCAACATCTCCTTTACAAAAATTTAAGTTACCCAAGAAAAAGTAATGTTTTGTTCATAATTTGTAATGAAGTAGAACAATAAACTGAGCGGCAACTCCTTTCCTCCTCCCCATTGAAAATTAAGATGCACAGCTTGAAAGGTGGCAGGGGGACAATTTTGATTTAATACTTCTATCTTGCTTGCAATCCATTCAGTAAGCAGACATGGACATGCATGATAAATGTGAAAGAAAGAAGAATAACGTGCATGTAAAATTACCTCTAGGAATTTCCTTTAGTTTTAACTGTTTAATTTCACAACTGTTACAGTTTGTATTTCCTATATATGTATATAAAATATATATATCCATATATATATATTGTGTATATCCATATATATATATATACACACACACTATATATCTCCACATTTTAGGGGAAAAAATATGAAAAACCCATTAACTCCACATACTAATTCTAACTATTCTAATACTTTGGTCACAAAGATAATCAGAGGGCTGGAGCACATCTCCTACAAAGACAGGCTGATGGAACTAGGTTTGTTCAGCCCAGAGAAGAGAAGGCTTCATGGAGACTTGATAGTGGCCATCCAGTATTTAAAAGGGAGCTTTTAAGCGGGATGGAAATCAACTTTTTGCGGAGGTAGAGATAGGACAAGGGAGAATGGTTTTTAACTAAAAGAGGAAGGATTTAGAGTAGATGTCAGAATGGTGAAGCCTTAGCATAGGATGCCCAGAGAGGCTGTGAACGCTCTACCCCTGGAGGTGCTCAAGGTCAGGTTGGATGAGATCCTGGGCACCTCACAATCCAGTGCCTGATTCAGTGGTTGATAATCCTGCCCTCGGCAGGAGGAGGTTGGAACAATGTGATCTTTGAGGTCGCTTCCAAGTCATTCTATGATCCTGTGATTTTCTGTTTACCTATAAACCATTAAAGAAGTATGGAAAAAGTGTACTTACTATTGTATCCATGTGGACAAACTGGTGTCCCTTTTCTTTAAGAGGTTTCAAGATCAATTTACCAGCAGCAAAATCAGATGTATTCAAACTTTTATATACTTTTATTGATTCATCTTCGAAGAAACATGAGTGACTGCTTCCAGAGTTAACACACTCTGCAAGGAAAGTCATAAGATTAAATGCTATTATTAACACAGTCATCTTCTTAGTTCTGCCCCTTTTTAAACTACATGTCCTATGTATTGTTTCAGTGCAGCAACCCCACCAGTCACACTTAATCATCAGCTGGAAAAAAAAAAAAAATAAATAAAATCAGGACATTTGACTTCCTCTTTTTCTGTCTCTCAAAATATTATCTGGAAAAGCAATGAATATTTCAACAGCTCACCTTTTTATGCCTCAAAATGAATGAGCAGTCTTCTTCCTACAGCAGTCCATACCTAAAAGCTTACTACATAATATAGAAAGGTCTTTGGTTATATCCCTTTATCTTACCTAGAAGAACTTCTTGATTTGTTACTGGATCCACTATGCTGGTTGGCTTAGAGGCATCAGCCAGGTGGACATCCAAACATTTCGCTACCTCACTTCCTAAGGAGACAAAAAAAAAAAAAAAGTACAGGAGAGTAATCACTCCACAACTGAAATACTTATTTAATCACAATTTTGGATTTCAGACAAGTTACTGAATTTGCTGTATTAAGTGACTAAACAGATTAAAGCCCGCTCTCTTCTGATAGAAGAAAAAATATATAACTGTTCTTTGAAGATAGAATTTTTTTCATCAGAATTATTTCCATCTGTGTTTGGTAAAGGGACTCTAAATCAAAAAGAAATTCTCAGAGCAATGCCAATGATATTGCTTGTGCTATTAACAGTAGCATTTATTCAAAAGTAGCTGCATTTTAGGAGAAGAACTCTTTTAGAAACAGAATATTAAGAAAGGATATAAAACACATGCTAACTTAGAAAAGCAAGTCTTTTCCTTTTACAACTGCTGATGGGCATCAAGAGACTTAAAAGAGAGAAAGTGCTCAAAAAGAACAACTACATGTTCACTTTTCCTTGTCTCAAGAGACACTATTTACAGGAATCTCATCCTAAGTTGTAAATCAGGGAATAATTTCTATCATATAATGCATTTTTCCAGAGAAGACAATAGCCTAAGAGTTTATGACAATCATATGCTTTTCAAAGGGAAAAGAGACTCTGGAGAATTTTTAAGACGAAACAAATATCCCAAAGGTCTCTTGGAGAGATAACTCTTGTAAGTAGGCGAGTTTAACTCCATAGTGCACAGGAAATCCCTCTAAATGTAGTCAGAAAAAGGATGTCAAAGGCAAGCTATAGCACTTTATAGGCACTCATGTCTGCTCAAGCACTATGCAGAGACAATCAGGGCTAAGAGACTGAAAAAGTTTTGTTCAAAATAACACTTCTATAAAAAGAGGCAGCAATAGGTGCAACTCTATAGCCCTATCCAGGAATTTTTATTGTATCATTAAAATTCAGGAATTTATTCTAGAAATTCAATTCAGCTAATGGGTCTCGTACATGTTACTCTTTTGTGAACACCCTTGAATTTTAAGTATCTCAGGAATAATGTCTGGTAAACAGATAACACATCACTTCTAGAGACAGCTCAAAGAAACATAAAGCAGCCAATATTTTTTGTAACATACAGTATGAACAGTCACTACCAGCTCAAGTTTCCACAAACTTGCAAATAAACTTAAAAGCTGCACTCAGATCAAAGGTTCAGGTAAGTTAGAATCTTGTCTCCTCCAGTGGCCAAAAGCAGGCACACCTTTTACCTCCCAGAATACTGTAATGGAGCAATAGCTTCCACAGAATATCTTCCACTTCTATGTGTAGTTTGCTTTATTGAAGAGCTATTAACAGTTAAGTCTTCTATGAATTTATCCTGTTCTTGCACTGAATGTACACAACAGGCAGTGAAAAAAGCTTATTTTCTGTGAAAAACTCAGGTGGCGCTACTTTCCCTTTACACTTTTTAGCTCTTGTGATAAAAGAAAAAATGTTTATTTCCCTTCTCCATGCCACTTGTGGTTTTATAGGTTTATCTCACACCACTGCAGTGTTTCCAGGGCAAAGGAACCTTCACTTATGTAGCTGCTTCTGGTACATAAATCCTTCCATGTCTTCAGAAAGCTTTTTCTGAACCTCCTCTAGCCCTACAACTTTCTTTATGTGGTAAAGAAACAAGTGCAGCAGAAACACGCAGCAGAAATTCGCACCAATATTCTCTGTTATCTCCCTTATTCTTTCTCCAGTGATCTGTTCATCCATGTTTTGTTTTGGAACTGTGTCAGGACGACCACAGTGTTCTCTCTCTCCATCCTCGTTAGCATTTATTTCCTCTACAATTTCACACAGAAACACAGCAGTAACAAACAAAAGCTCCAGTGTGTCCCCATACAGAAAGGCTCTTTTGTATCAAAATCTCTTCCAGAGAGAGAGAGCGCACAGAAAAAATTAATTAGGTTTCTGGACTCTGATCCTGCCTCCCTTCTGAGCACTACCTGTGCACTGCAAACAGTCTAGCAAAGCTTCCCATTCCTGGGCATTTAAGCATCGATTTATTGCCTACTTTTATCTATTTTGTGGATTGTTTGTAAATCTCTATTCACCTAGACCACGTGTTTGAATTTAACTCACATTCAGATGTGATATTACAGTTGGTAGCAACAAAACAACCGGAAGTTTTTATACCTTAATTATGCATTATAAAATGGAACACATGAGCATCATAAAGGAAGTACAGCTTATTTTCTTTCATCTCAGCTTTAAGGGCACCACAACACCTCAGGAGCAGTGATTTCTCTCTTCCTTCCCAACCCAGTGAAGTTTCAGACAGCACTGGTGCACTATAGTAAGAGGAATGCATTTTTTTTGCATCAGATTACTAACATATTCCATTACAAAAAGATCTTCAGTTAGAGAATCTGGAGCTGTCACAGGAGAAAAAACTTGGAGCAAAAGAAAATTCATTACAGAAGAGTTTTTCTGAAGTGTCAAAAGAAGAGGGATAAAGTCTGCATTTATACTTGTTCTAGCTCTTTTCTGCTTATGATGACTCTTCGGCTTATTCTTCATTTGAGGTTCTGCTTCTGCACCTGCTATTCCACTAATTAAAAGCCTTCCTGAAAGAAAAGAAAGTTGAGTGAAACTCAGTGACACATACTAATTATTTTAATTATTTTACAAGAACAAAGATTTGCACACTCTGATCATTTTAGTTTGGTATATATTTCCTTAATGCTCAACTTTTTACATAGCTTTAGAAAGCCAGAATAAAATCAAAAAGCTTCAGAACATCAAGTACCTGAGAGTGCAACACGCTTTTGAGATTTTAAAGAAAAGGGCATGATGGTAATATGTTCAAGGAACTTTTCAGAAAGCCAGAACATGAGAGTTAAGTTTTAAGACAAAGTATTGACTTCAGGGACAAAAGGAAATACTATTTCCAAGCGGACTGATGAATCAGCAAAAGACCAAATTAGTCTGAGTACAAGATGTATTCCATCACCAAGGTATTTAATGCTGAGATTAGATAAAACGTTATAGTATCTGCTCTAGAAAGCAGTGCCCACGCAATTAAAAATGCTCCCAAAAATGATCCAATAAGCAGCTCCTGCTGTCACAGAACGTCTAACAAACACACTAGTGCAAATCTTTTTTTAAAATTTGCTAAATCGTTAATGTAAGTTTATTTAACATCTTCTGCTTAAATTACTTCCAGCTTAAACAAGAATGTTGGGAGAAAGACTAATCAGCTGAAGACCATAAATAAGTGACTTCTTTAAAGTTCACAAATAGTAAGCATCTCAGGGCTTTGATAGCACAGGATCAAACCACAGATCTCCCTTTACTGCCCCATCAGGAACAAGGAGATGGGTATTTTGGAAACTTGTACCTGAAGGCTTCAATGTATAGGTCACTCGCTCTCCTCGCCAATATTCCAGAGGTTTAAGTCGTATCCTTTTTGTTCGACGAACATTAGGCGTGTTGGAAGGCAGCACTAATTTAAAGGAAATAATTTCTAAGTCATTTTCATACTTACTGTGAACTTATTTAATTAGAAATAACATTTAGAAAGCATTAAGCAATCTGCTGTTATTCCATCTCAAGGCATCAGCGCTTCCCAGCTGATATTTATACCACTTTGCTTTCACAACAAAAAAAGGGAATAAGGTATTGCCAGTAGCCTCCTTTTGCATTCATTATTACTTCACTCTGCTTTTTGTTAAACAGTCACCATGCTAGCTTGACATTGGATTTCTTTCTACATACCTTAGTCAAGCTCTGATATACAGACATTAGGACCTCAGGAATACAGAGAAGCAAATAAACTTTAATTGTGAAGACAAACTCCTCAAAAATGACTAAGAATCTTCCTCAAATTTGAAGGACTTCATCAGCAAAAGTGAAAAGGTTTCACCTTTCTTATGGCAAGAGAAAAGTAACAGAGGGTGCCTGAGCTGCCTCTCTTCTCTCCCAAATTCTTAAATTCCATCTCCAAGGTCTGGAAAAAGAACAGTACTCTTGCCAACAGAAAATCCCATGCATTTCCAAGACTCCTCAGATATTTATCTTCTGACTTAATAGAATCTCAACTTCAATTTTTCTAAGCTGCAATGTATGAATACAGTAAGAATTTTACATTTTGTAAGAAAAAAATAAAAGCTCCTTTAAGAGTTGAGAACAAATTAGTCAAGAATATTTAAATGCTAAAAATAAAAATGGTAAATTAAAAACAACAACAGGCTTTGCCTGTATTATTTTGTGCACAACAATATAGTTGTGTACCTTCAAAAACTATAATGGAGGAAATAACAACAACAGATTAGCATGGGATTACAATCCACCACGTGCCCATTGTGCCATCCTCTCCCACAGGACCAATTCAGATATCACAGAAGGCAGCTTATCTGCACCCTCAGTTACACTGTGCAAGATTAATTCAAACCCTCTCACTGAACTGTAAGCAATGTGCTAACTCAAAAAGTTGAAAATGGGACAATTAAAATGGTGACTGTTGAACATAGAAAAAAAAGTTTTCAGAAGTTAAAAAAAAATAGAGTAGGGCTATGTAGTACTCCAAAGAGGAAGTAACAAGTCCTGTCTATAAACATATCCCATGCATTTTCCAGACTGCTTTCCAGATCTCATTCAACTTAAAATTATGATTTTGAGTACTCTACATTTGCATGAAATGTTAAAGATGCTTAGTGAATTAACAAATTCACTCATTTGTGATTAGTGAATCATAGATTTCTAGGTGTTCTCCTGTGTTTCCTTCAGCAAAAATTTACATCAAGTTGGAAGTGTCTTTATATTTCTGCACTTATGTTAAGGTATTATAAAATAACCTTACCTATTTTTTGCCTGCCTATCTCGTCTGACAGTAGATTTTTTATTTGACAATGCAGGTCTTCAGAATTATCTGAAAATACATTTAAAAAGCCATCACAATAGGCATTTATTTACTACTCGTGACTTTTATTCAATCCATCCCACAACTCCCAACGTTAATGTTCCCTCTGACATTTTTTCTTTAAAGATTCATGAAACCCAATGTAGATAAATATGTAATTTATGTATGCATTAAAAAGCATAAGCTTAAAATGTACAGGAAAACTATGCATTCAAGTAAATATTCCTCAGACATCTCTCTCTAAAAAAATCTCTCTAAAAAGTATTGTAACTACATGCACAATTTTACTGACTGAAGTGTGAGATCATTCAGCTTTACGCCCCCCAGTATAACTTCAAATAAACTTATTAGAAAAGCCATAAAACTAGGTCTGAAAAAAAAAAAAACCACGACATGAACTAAACAACACTCTTAACTGGTTTAAAAGGAAGGAAAAGACTTTCAACCTCCAGGGTTCACACTCATTACAGCAGCACGTTTAACTTGCGTAGAGCAACTTGACACAGAAAACCAAGATTTTTTAGGTGAACAGGCCATACAGTGGGAAACTTAGCTCTACAGTGGCCTGAAGTGATTAAATACAGTATCTCTACATGACAATGCATGGAATTGGTTCAGACTTGTTCTGCTCACAAAGAAGCAAAATTGCTTCTGAGAGGTTCTTGGCAATACCAGGCAAAGCATCCACAGGTAGGCCAGCAGTCATACACAGAAAGAAGAGTTGAAGGGGCTCTCTGGCTATGCAGCACTCCTTCTGAGGAAGCAGCCTAGGTGCAAGAGATGCTCTCCCTTCAGCAGCTGGCCCTTGCATGAGCCCAGTGTGGCTCTAGCCTGGGTCCACCCCTTCTGGTCACCTGGGGAGCACAGGTGCAAACAGTGTGCCTGCGTCCCCTAGGCCAGCCACATCCCTTCACCGGGTGCTCACTCACCAGTTCAAGCCGTGACCTAATAGTTCCCTTACAAACCTGAGCCTACAAAATTTGATCTGAGTATTGTGCAAGGACAACTGTATCCTGAAAGGCTTGACGCCAGACCACACAGTGCTTGTCCTTACACAGCTAAAACAGCATGAAGCTGGTTGGTATTGTACCACGTACTTGGGCAGAACTGCAATTACAGCCAATTCAACCTGCACTTCTTATTCTGAAGAACAAGAGCTGAGGATACAAGAGAAATTACTGTGCAATCACAGCCTAAGTAGCTCATACATACAATGCATGAAAATACCAACTTCAAATAGTACCTGAAGATTCATTATTCTCTTCACAGTGCTTACTTGGCGAAGTATATTTCTCAGAATGTTCTAGAACAAGCCCGCTTCAAAAGAAAAGAATAAAGATACGCCTGTTTCAATGTGTTCCATATCAAAGAAATGTTACAGCAACAACAAAAACAGCAAAATCAAGTTTCTTTGAGAACGTAGGCTTTTTTTCCATCCAAACACCTGTCTGCACTTGATTCAACACTGAAGCAAATGACCACTGTTAGAAAATCACAGGTCTTTTCATCAGTTGCTCCTCTACTGAGTTATGAGGCAGACAAGCTGTGCTCACATCTCTCTAACCAGGCCTCGTAAAAGTCTGATGACATTTTCTCCTGCCTTCCAGAAGAAACAGACGTTCTCCTCTCCTCTGCAGCACTACAGAAGTAGTTAAGAGAAATGTTCTATATGCCGTAAGCAAAAGGACAGTAACAAAGTTTAGAATTTCAGCTGTATGAATCCTGTCATAAAACGATCCCCCTGATATAACAATAATTATCATCCATATGCACCTCCACCAGAAAGATTCTCCAAGCATTACTCAGAACAAGATTGTTCTTTATAGACCTAGTATGTTCTTTATAGACCCAACCTTGCCTCCTTCTGTAATCATGACTGCATCCCACTGCCACTACCACGCCAATAAAATTCAACAGGGGAAGAATACAGCTGTGCCCCACCTAATCCCCAAAAGATGCATTTCAATACTAGATCTTCATGCTTACATTTTGCTGCATCAGTTTGTCCAACTGAAGTCTGCTCTAAGCTCACTTCAACTGAAGCGTTACAGTTTTCAGTAGAGTTATAGTAAAAGAATGTTACATTGACAATTTGCCTCTTCTATTTCATTAAAGAGCCCATTGCACAAAAGAGGAGGTATCTGCATGTCTACAAACACAAACAAGGGTTTGGAGTGCAGATAATGCAGGATACCTTACTCAGCAGGTGTGACATTACTGGCGGCTCCTTACTTATGACAGAAAGTACAATTTAGAATCATAGAATGACTTAGGATGAAGAGGACATTAAAGACTGCCCAGTTCTGATCCCCACTGCCATGGACAGGGTTGCCAGCCACTACATCAGGCTGCCCACAATGATCCCATGCAACCTGGCCCTGAATGCCTCCAGAGATGGAACATCCACAACCTTTCTGCACAACCTGCTCCAGCACCTCACCAGCCTCTAAATAAGAAATTTCTTCCTAACATCTAACCAAAACCTCCACTCTTTCAGTTTAAAGCCATTCTCCCTTGTCCCGTCACCATCAGACCATGTAAAAAGTTGGTTCCCCTCCCACTTGTAAAGCTCTCTTCTGGTATCTTCTGGTACTGGAAGGCAGCAACGAGGTCTCTCTGCAGCCTTCTCCAAGCTGAACAAGCTCAGCTCTCTCAATCTTTCTTTGTAGGAGAAGCACTGCAGCCTTCTGATCATCTCTATGTCCCTCCTTTGGACTCACTCAACAGCTCTGCATCCCTCTTCTACTGGTGGCCCCAGACCTGGACACAGTGCTGTAGGTAAGGCCTTACATGGCTAAAGTAGAGGGGGACAATCACCTCCCTTGCCCTGCTGGCCTCCCCTCACTTGAGGCAGCCCAGGATACCTTGTGGGCTGCAAGAGCACACTTCTTGTCTGCTTTTCATCCAACAAAGGCCCACGGGTCCTTCTCAGCTGGTACACATATCTGGGATTGCCTCAACCCAAATGCAACACCTTTTAGATCAGCTTACTATGTTAGCATGATAGCAACATGCCTCAGGCATCAGTTATGATCCATTTCTACTGGTTGCTATACTGAAACACCACAGAGCACAGTAACTTGCACCAAAGAGCTGTGCTGTCTCAGTACAGAAGGAATGAGATTAAATACAAGTTTTACAGACAACACAGGAAATTACCTTTCAAGACCCATAGCTTTCTCAGCTTCAGTGGAATGTCTAGAAAAGAAACAATTACCGTGCTTACTGTAAGTCAACAATTTTACTTACTGCAGGGAACCATTTAAGAGAGTAAAAAAAAAGCAATGCAAAAACAAACATCCAAACCACCGAACACTGGATCTGCTACTCAATCTCCAAATCACACTTCAAAAACTCCAAGTTTCCTTAAGTGCTTACAGACATTACCCTTGGCACCCATCACTGATAACAGAATGGTGATTACACCACTTGGTTTCTCTATTAGCTATTTAACCACCTGAAACAGTCACTTATTTCGACACTGTAATTAATGCTCAAAATTTAACTGAATATACCAAGTCACGCTAGATTTTCTAAGGAATTGAATGAATAGCTTACTGCAGTCTCCCGTGCCTGTTACTTTTTCTTTTTTGACTTGTTTCCACAGCTGATTGCTTGTGTTTTTTTCTTGCTACCTCCTGTGCAGAAGAGCTGTCAGAATCTGTTGTATTTTGAGGCTCAGTGTCCCCCGTGATTGAGCAAGCTCTTTTATGGGCTCTGTGATGAATCTTTTTGAGCATCTTCCCTGAAGACGTAGCTGATGATCTTTTCTTTTCAGAATTCTTCTTACTGTCTACGAGATGCTGCAGTAACTCTGCAGCTTTTAAAGGAGTTTTGTTATTTACACCAGTAACTGTTTCCAAAGAGTGCAATACTTTCTCAGCTTTTTCAGACTTAGCCAACTTCTGAAACACAGAAGTCTGTAATTCCTGATGCGGAGGTGAGGTAAACATTTCACTTGATTTTAAGGGCTCCCTTTCAAGTCCTTCTTCACCAGGTTCACTGTCAGAACTCTTCCATCTCTGTGGCTCAGGATTTTTATTACCATTTCTCTTTTCAGATTTTTTCAGCTTCTTCCTTTGGATCTTCAACACCTTATCATTTGCAAGTTTTTGCTTAGTTTGTTTCCTGTGAACTGAACGCTGATAAGCTTTTAAAGCAGACTGCTGGTACTTGCAAGGAGTGAGATTCCTTTTTGGCGATAGCATCTGCTCTTGCTGATGCTCAGCTGAGGGCACTGGCAAATCTTCCCTTGCCATCACCCTTCTTATCTTTTGTTCTTCATCAGATGCTTCTGAGTCCAACCCAGATAGCATCAGCTGTTCAGCTTTTGATTGATAGGACATCTTCTTTCTATGCTTGGAAGATCCCTTAAGTTCATCTGGTTTCGATTTTCCTGGGAATATAAAAAACACATGGAAATGAATACTTTCTCCCCATAAAAACCCAAAGAAATAAGTTTACACCTAAACACAAAAATGAATTTAAAAAAATCACCCAAACATTAAATATCACAAGAACTTATTTTCCCCTAACATTTGAAATAAAGCTCTAATTCATATCTCCTAGCAGTAAAAGAGCAGAAATGTTATGTTGTATGTGCTTCCAGTTTTCAGTGCTACCTGCTAGAAAATTCTTCCCAAATAATTCATAAAAACTGACCTCTTCATTTAAAGTACGTATCTTAATATCCTTTCTAGCGATACAAGAGCAAAAGCTTGTGGGTACTTCTACCTATTTGTCAGCTTGTAGGAAAAGACAGAACATCTAACTTAATATTTTGGACTCCTAACAGGAGAAGATAGAGTTGGGGGCAGAGGTGAATCTGTGTGGAAAAATACAGACCATGGCCTCAACAGGCAACTGGCCTGTGAGAAAGGACTGGTGTTAGCGTGGGAACACAAGTCAACTGCCTCCACCTTCTTTAAGTAGCTGCAACAAACTTGTTTGTGAGAAACTGCTTTGCAGCTGTAACTAAGTATCCTTGCTTTCAGTGAATGACTTTGCTAATCCTGATACTCCGTGTTTTACCCTACCTTTATATATAAGGCCACAGTACTCAGGGAGTCACACGGACATCTTGCTGGCTAGCCATCACCAGTAACAAAGACTTGGCAGACACTATCAGCCAGCCACCCCGATAACATCAGTAGTTCTTTATCAAACTGGTGAATATCAAGTTGCTTCCATATACTTTTCTCAAGATTGGTAAACCTTAAACAGAAGAACTGGCACTTTCGCATTACATAATCCACAAGTAAAAAAATACAGACTTGCTGCCTACATACACCCAAATGTAACTATACTGGAGTCCTAATTGAAACATCAATTAGGACTCCATTAATCTCTTTCATCTCCTTGATCTCCAGCTTCCATACATAACAGCCCCCATAAAAATACCCAGTAACATGACAAGGAAAGGCAAGTCTGAAGATGAGTTAGCTGACTTACCCACACGAGTACTGCTTCTCATTTGAGATTTAAGGACCTCTCCCCCACTGTCAGAAGAGACCGGATGGGATTCTGACGTTCTTTTCAAGTCACGTTGCCCTCCGACACTCTTCATTTTCTGTTCACCATGTACTTCAGCCCGTACCTTCATGTTCTTGCATTTCTTATCTGCTGTCTTTTCCTTTTCAGAGGACTGAGATTTCAAAACAGGAGTCACGAAGCCATCTTTTTTTGACTTTCTGTTCTTGTGGGGTATTGAAAACCAAGACTTAAAAGACAGACAATCTGATTCATCAATTAAAAACTCACAATCGCTTTCTATTTCTACGTTTCGATCTTTGACAGGAGGAGGTGATGATGGTGCGATTGAGTCCGTATGCCTAAAGAAAGGAGGGACAAAGCACTCGCGTTATTTGGGAGAACAACACGAGTGCCAATCTTGAAAAATCAGCTGATAAAGCACGTAAACATTCTACAGGACATTCCCAGACAAATGATTCTACAGCCCATCATCCATTGCTCTTAATTTTCCAAAATGATCACACCCCTGTTGTTTTCTTGCTTTGGCCCCAAACACGTGCCTTATTGTTTTTCAAGTGCTGAGTAGTCAGCTTCCTATCAAACCCCACTAATTCACACTAACTCTTTCTCAAAATCTCCTTAATAACCTAATAACCATAAAACTTTTCTCCTTAATAACCTAAAACATAAAAACTTTTCCTGAATCTTCCAATCTACCAATCAAAACATCTCAAGATCAATCTGAAGCATGGAGGCTCCTTAGCCTCCATACAACTCAACCTGCAGACAAATGTAAACGAGGTTAAAAACGAAATCATTGTTAAATCCTACCTTCACAGAACATTCTAACTAGTTAAACCCTTTCCCAAAAGAATCCCAGGATTGGATTATTATTTTACAAGCAGACTGTTCCATGCTAAGCCTCAAAAGAAATCTCTTTTCGAGTGTTCCAGCCATTACAGATGCTAAAAAGATTGAAGAGATGGACATCTCCCTCCACCCAGGAGATAGAGCAACGTTCTGTACTTTGTATAACATCCTGATTTTCTTTCACAATTTGAGGTCCTTTCAAATTTCCATACTCCATATGGCTCTTTACATTTTGGTTATCAAAATCTAAACTAGATTTGAGAAATAGCATTTAAGCATGATGGTATACTTAACGTGCAGTCAATTTCATTTTGTGGATGGACAGATGCTCTCATTTTCTCCTGCTGACAGCATATCAGTTTTTACAAATAAACTTTTATTTGTTAATTTAATGGAACGTGGGTAAGCAGTACTGCTTCCCAGTGTAGTAGAAAGCATCCAAACCAATAATGCAACATGGGGTGAGACCATGACTCCTGATCAAAGTACAGCTCAACAAGGCAAATTCCTAATTTTAGGAGAATGTGCTTCACAACATGTCAGATTTCCTAGATCATTAGTGCATTCTCTTCCCAGTCTCACTTCATCATGTGTCACTGGGACTGCTGTCATTTCCTCCCTTCCATGACCTCCAGTAGAGGTTCAACCTGCTTAGAAAGCAGAATCGTGGCTGGGACAGTCAGCCACTATTGCAACTGGAATTGAAATTTTCTGAAAAGGAGATTGTGACTGCAACTGAAACTACCCTACTTTATTTAAAATATTGATGTATTCAGAGCGAGGGCAAGGATGACTGCCTACCACTGCTTTAACAAAGCTTTTGTTATGTTAAGATCAATGCTTTCAATAGCATTCACTGAAAAAGCCCAGATTATCCATCTTAGAAACTTTCCCGTAAAAAAGGAGTTTAAATTCATTCTGGAAGTCTTAAGTACTGCACTTCTGGGACTTAACCCTCATCACCAGAACATTTAATAAAAAACAATGATGCCTCCCTTCTGAATAAAGACAGACCTTTTTTTCATCCAATCTGGAATTATTTTTGTTCAGAACACAAACTCATCAACTGAAACCATTGTACTGATTTAACCCTTAGTCAAAAACAACATTCACCCCTACTTACGTTTGTACAGGAGAAGACTTTGCTTCCTCCACAAGAAGAGGTGATCCCACAACTCCATGATCATCCTCAGGATCTGATAACTTGGCAGGACTTTCACATAGTACTTCAACATCTTTGAATGTTAACACCTGTGTTTCTCCTCTTGGCACAGGATTGTCTGTTTTGACAGAACCAGCTATGTGACTGTTTCTTCCAGGCTCCGGGTAGAACACACACGGCTCCCCTGCCACACAGATTAAATAGGTTTAGTTGTACTCAAAAGCTCCTAAAACCCCAAAGAAGAGTTACCCAGAAAACCTTAAAAATAACACTACCAACCTTTGCTCCTGACTGTCTTCACTGGCGTTGCAGGTAAGGACACAGTGGAAAGACAGGCTCTATTTGCTGCCGCGTTAGTTAACCCTGCATCTGGCTGACATTCAACGAAGAATGAGACATCAAAGAAAAATGTTTCACAAAGCCATGGTATTTTGACAGGAGTAAGAACTTCTACAGAAAACAATATCGTTTCCTTACTTTAATCCTTACAAATTTAAAGCTCGTTTCTATTTCAACAGAACACTTCAGTTTTCTATTAAGACTTTCTAAAACTAACTGTATATTTCAAACAGGTAAAAGTACTGCGTACATGAACATCAATCTGCAGTTTCAAATAAACAGACTGCTCTTCCACAGGCAATACATTCTTTTCGTTAAAACAAATTAATTTAAACCAACTAATTCAGCTACAATTATGCAGGCTGAAGTTTTGCAAGAAAAACTTGAGATTATTCAGTATTCTAACATCAGACTGAAATAAACAAATGCCAATATAAATGTTGCCCATTTTGATGCTATTAACAGAATACCCTACTGGATAAACACTAGATCAAAGCATCAAAACTAGATAGAAAACTAGATTCCCATCATTCTTTTAGACAATAAACCAACAACTCTGTCCATTCCTCCAAGCTACAAAGTTATTTTTCAGATACTGCCTGCTTGTCAAGAGCTAAAAAGTCCCCTTCATAGGAGAATGGTCTCTCAGTGTTACCCTCTCCACCTGACAGCTAAGAGCTGTGTCCATACATCTGGTAAAGTGCCTGAAACCAACCCCAAAGGAGTCCATGACAGCCATACCCAGCATCAATTACAAGATAGCATGCTTCACTATGAGAGCACAAGAAATGTAACTATCTCAGACAGAAAGTCGGAAAAAAAATTAGTAAAATCTGAAAAAAAGGCCATTAAATAAATCTTGTAAGAGATTATTTACTATATCAGTACAACAAACTAAGGAAAATCATTACCAGCAAATATTACAGAACATTATAGCCTATACATTGATATTTTTGACATACAGAACTTATTCACTCAACGTTCATACAGAAATCAATCCTACAGATCCAAATGTGCACCCAAGTGAAGCTGCACCCAGCACTACGCTGTGATAGCACCGCAATCAATCAGAATGGCTTAGGTGGAAGGGGATCTTAAAGATTGTGGGTTGCCAGCCACTACATCAGGCTGCTTGGGGCCCTATCCAACCTGGCCTTGATCGAGCACCTCTCTGGGCAGCCTGTTCCAGTGCCTCACCATCATATGAATCAAAAATTCCTTCCTAACATCTAAGATAAATCTCCCCTCTTTTAGTTTAAAGCCATTCCCCCTTGTCCTGTCACTATCAGATCACGTAAAAGGTAGGTCCAACTTACCCTAGGGCTCTGTGTTGAAGTCCTCTCCTGGTTTCTGACAAGAGGAGTTGAGAAACAGGTTGCTTCTGGAGAGCTTACTATGACATCAGTATCATCACCTACAAAGAAAAAGCGATAAGGGATACTTGGAATCATACAGCTTAGACCCGGTTTCAAAGGGCTGCAAAGGGGGAACTGTTGAAGACTAGGAGAAATATTATCAACTTTATTTATTTATTTTTTTTTTAATGTCTATTTATTTATTACTACATACACTACAAGAAAGAAACAATGCTCTAACCAGCAGATTAAGCACAACACCAAATAAAAGCTTACATTCAAAACAATCCTGTATGTATTTCAGAACATTTTCACCAGGCTGTATATTGATCTTCTTTCTAGAAAGATGAAAAAACACACATTTTAAAAATAAGAATACTAAATACACCTATTCCGGCAAGCAGTTTATTACTAGTTAGTACTTTACACTGTGATTTCAGAAGACAAAAAGCTCTGTCATGAAACATATTGGGAATGAGGAAATAACCTCCAAAGAATAAAACATACAATTATTGCAATAGTCTTCAAGTAAAAGAGGTCTGGGAAGTGCATGGTGGGGATGGGCTGACAGTTGGACTGGGTGAGCTGAGAGGTCTTTTCCAAACTTAATGATTCTATGAATAGAGACTCTGTTTTAAAATAAATAATTAAAAAAAAAATAATCGGTCCTGACGTAATTCTGCCTGCATGGTGATCCAGCCTCAGCAGACCCAGAAATAAGATGTGTAGTCTGCAGTCTATCCCTTCAGACAAGGAGTCATCCTTTGCTTCGCCTCCTACATTTACCTGCAGTTACTCTACACCTCTATAAAAGCTCTGAAAGCAGGAACTGACTTAGGGCATCAAACTGCAAGCTAGAGAACAACTTTGATGCTTGGCTTCAAATCCCCCCCCCTCCCCTCGGACAAATAAAAATAGCAGAAGTAATCTAACAGCTGGCCCACGGAGATCAAAACCAAAATAAGAAAAACACCACATACTATTTTCCATAAATATTCATAATTATTAAACATCCATAAAAACAAGTAATTTGGCAGGTCTGGTAAGCTCATGAAACACACATCCAGAAATAGATTCCAGTAACAAAAAGCTTGATGACTTCAGAAATGTCTCAAAAGCTCTTTGCAGCACTGGAAATACCCAAACTCATGTTCCACATTTACCAGTGAGGACCAAATACCTTAAGCTGGAATTCCATGTGGTCTCACTTTCTCTCCCTCCTGAAAGTCAGAGCACTTGCAGATGGCTGCAGCTGCACTCTGGTAGCTCAGTTGGGGTATCTTAACATTTATATACTCCATAGCCCACCACTGCCACAGAGACACTAAGGAAATCCTTTGCACTTTGGAGTGCAGAACAATTTGCCTCTCCCTCCACTAAGAAACGCAAGAAGGCTGGAAACATCATTAAATCAGTTCAGATTATTAAGGTTGGAAAAGACCTCTAAGCTTATTCAGTCCAACCACCCATCAGCTCCACTCCTGCAAACCATGTCTTTAAGACACACCATTAGTTTTGCCATTACACTTAAAGATACCAACTTTTCCAACCAAATGTATCTACGATTAAAATCATAAAGGGAAATTACCCTCCTTGCCCACAGAATCTTGCTCGGTAGTATTGTTTTAAGTGATCCTGTTAAGAAATAAGAATCAGTTGTTACTAAGCATGCCGCTGACAAATGACAACACTCCTGATTGATGTGTAACAAGTCTCAAAGATTCCCGGTTTACCCAAAGTCAGTACCAGCAAGTCTTAAAAGCAACAGACAAACCCCAGTCACATTTCTAAGCAGCTTTAGATGTTACTTATGGTAATCAAAAACCAAAGAAGCAACCAAAGTAATATTAATAAAGTAAGAAACATCCCACTGTCACCGTTCAGCGTACAGTTAACACGGCACGCAGAACCACTGTGTCTCTCAGGTAACCGACGAGATGCTGTCAGTTTGGAGACGCTTAGTGCAAAACTGCCTTCTTTCCTGTTCAGTCACAGAACTGAGTTCCTCGCAGCCCACTCACATATAAAGGTCTCATCAAACGTAACCCCCGCGCTCCTCTGACAGGGCCGCAAGAGGAGGAACAGCTGCGGCACGCCCGGCGCCTCCAGCTAACCCTAACCCACCCACGGAAGGCTTCGGCGCCGAGCGCGGGCCCCGCCGCGCAGCCCCAGAGGAGCGGGGCCGCTGCCACTGAGGAGCGGCACTGCGCTCCCACGGCCGCAACGCGCGGGGGGGGGGCGGAAGGGCCCACCCGCCCCTGACAGCGCGCTGAGGAGAAAAGTGCGTCCCAGCCCCGAGAGACGGCCCCGCTGCCCTTCCCTACCCCCTGCCAACGCGCCCGGAGGCCGCCAGCCGCGCGGGCCGCGCAGGCCGCGCTCCCCCCGCCCTCTCACCAAGCGCTCCGCCATCCCGGGCCGCCGCCGCCGCCGCCGAAACGCTCCCGGCACCCATCCGCCTCCGGCCCCTCCCTCAGCTTCACCGCTTTCAAACCTCGGCGGCCCCGCCGCCTCGCTCGATTGGCCGGCGCCCGCCGCCCCGCCCCGCCGCCTCGCCCCATTGGCCGGCGTTCGCCTCGCGCCAACCGGGGCGGTTGCTTCGAGCGCGCGCAGCTCCTATGTCTGAGGGCCGTTGCTGCGCCTGCGCAGAAGCCACAGGGCGGCCTTCCTGCACTCCCCACCGCCTTCCTGTGGGCAGGGAATGGGGCGGAGCGGAAGATTTCCGTCTTGGTCAACGAGAATTGAAACGCGCTGATGCACGGCTTTATCTGTCCTGCATCGTTCGGTGGCGAAGTGACATTCTGCCATTTAAACAAAACCACAAGTACAGCAATGAGCTCACTGACATGTAGCCAAAACCTGAGACACAGATCTGCCCCACTTGATCCCTGGCAATTAATTCAGTCTTCAGCCAGCTGAGGCTCTGCCTAGAGAAGGTTGTTTTTCCTCTATAGCTGGACATCTGAAACCTCACAGCAGCGTCAGCATTGCACAGGCTGTGAGGAGGTATACCAAACCTGCTGCGGTTGAGAACAGGTTGACGAGATAATTAAAAACTTCAAAGCAGATTTTTAGTAATTTATTTTTTTTTAAAACCAAATGAGGGACCTGACCTACTCAGCACATGACCTTTTGGCTGGATGAAAGCTTTGTTTTTAGCAGCAACAAGCAGGAAGTGCCAAGTGCAGTCATCCCTATCCTTCCTAAATGCTATAGGGAAGGTCAGAAACAAATTGAAACATAAATGTTGCAGGAAAATAATGGAAATGTCACCCCTCAGTTCAGCAAGGCCAACATTTCTCTCCTAACCCTGTCTTTGCACTTTTTTTTTTTTTCTTAAGGCTTTGATTTATCACCTCTTTCAGAAGGAAATAAATATTTTTCCCACATGCAAGTTGCAAAGTTGATTGATCCTGGGCAGTCATACACAACTATAAGCTTCATACCAGTACTACTGCTGGCATACCATACCCTATAGAAATTCCAACTCTGATATCTTCAACTTCATAACACATTCACCAAGGAAATCATAGAATCATAGAATCACCAAGGTTGGAAAAGACCTAAAAGATCATCCAGTCCAACCGTTCACCTATTCCCAATAGCTCCCACTAAACCATGTCCCTCAACACAACATCCAGTCTTTCAAATCTTTGAAAAGCCACTTATAAACCAGTCTCCCTGCCTGCAGGGCTGCTCTGCCACCACCTCCAGCTGACACTGCTCACAGAAACGATGCAGTCTTGTGCCATTATGCAGCATCATCTGAACGCTTACCTTTGAGCAAACCCAAGCAACAAAATCCCAAGAAAAGATCCTTTCAATCCACTTGGTCTGGTTCCCCTGAGGATTATGCACTGAGCGAAATGTCTGCTGACCTAAAAGCAAAGGACTGAGACTTCCTCTTTGAGGTGTTGCTTTTTCCCCCCTCCCCTCACCAGGATGAGCTCTCTGGCTGAGGCTGACACAGAGCAAACAAGCACAGGAGTGGAAGGAGGAGGCTTAAAAAATAAAAATAAAAAATTAAAAGCAAACAACGGGCAGAAGAAACCAACAACCAAACAGCAGAACTGATATCTAGAGGCTACTGAGGAGCAGCATGGAGCAGCCTGCCGAAGCCCCTCAGGCAGCACCCAGACGAATCTCCCAGGAGAGACAGAAGCTCACAGGTCTGCCCTTGTACTTCCAAGGTTACCTGTCAGTGCGGCGCTCACAGTGCCAGGTAAGCTGCACCAGCCCACAAAGCTGACGTGTTTGGGCATTTCCTCAGATCACTGCTAGGCACTAATCCTCTGCTGATAGTGGTGGGAAACGCTGCTCGGTGCTGGCCGATGCAAATAGTTGTGCTGAAATAATTATATCTAGCTTAGTTTGTGCTTTCATCTCATCTCAAAGTACTTGAGGAAACAAACAAACAAAAAATTAAAATAAGTTACACAAGGTAACCATCAGTATTCTCCTGGATCCCATTTATAATTTACCTACTGAATTATAATATTATGATGATCACATACTTAGTGAAACATGGATTGCTCTCGACCAATTTCATAGCTACCACCACAGCAAAATCTAATGCAGTATTTTAAATACTAAGACAGTTTGGATGTTTATATTGCTTCAATGTATCATCTGTTTTCTGGAGAAGAGTATCCAATCCCAAAATCTTCAGCACCACACCACCATGATATGTATTAGCTCTGCTGTGCCTCCTTTTTCTTGTTGCAGTGAGCTGCTGATTCCACACAGGTGGACTACCTTCAAAGCGTAATGATTTATTGAGCCAGGATAATTATTTACAACCCAAACTGGTAAATGCCCACATCCTTTTAATCAGTGCTACCATGCTCAGAGCATGGACTCAATCAAGCTGATTGCCCTTTTTTAGCACTTGATAATGACAATCCCAACGTTAGGGACTGTACCTACACTCACACCTCCATGGAAGCAGATGCACAAAGTAGAGAAAATCAGTTATGCACTGCAAAAAGGAGATATAGTCAAGAAACTGAAATAACACTGTGGCTCACAAATACAGGAACAAGCTAGTAGCAGAGAAAACAGAAACTCCAAGAAACCAAAAGGAGACAATTAATAAGCCATTCATTTTTCTGCAGCACTAAAAATTATTCAATGCCTTGCCTTAGTGTAGCATGGAAGTACCCTCATATTTAAATAAAACTCCTTGTTACAGTCCTGTATTTATATCCTTCTATGTAAAACCTCTTTGTTCCCTGAAAAATCCCTCCTTCTGAAATATGGTTAACTACCATAATGAAATAGCAAAAAGTAACAGGACACAGCAATAATACAGACTAGTCTGTAGAGGAGACTCACATGAGATGAGCAAGGTGTATTATCATTTATGAGAAACCAGACACCCAAGGAAAAAAAAAAAGTGTGAATACATTTGTTTTGAATGAGTGAAACAATTGGAAATGTTCTTGGGCTACTGCTACTGCATCTCCATAGAGCACAAAGTCTATAAGGCGCAATCCAAAAGCTTGCCATGACATCCAGCCCCAGCACACAGCAGTCACTGACTTCATTAACTTGCTTGAGACAGATGATTTGATGAGGACATTTACACCACTGCAGCACATTGCAGTGCTCAGAGGTTAGGGTCCAAAGGCAGAATGCTGTAGAGAACCTTACATTAGTAGTGTGACCAGAAAGAATAGGGGTTGCAGGACAGAGAGCAAGAATTTCCTGCAAATTATTCCAGGAGAAATTTGTTTACTGTAATTCCTACGACTTAGCAGATTTCACGAGTCATTTATTTCTCAGTTTTTGTGACTATCTCCAACTTTGTGCCAAAGAAAATCCCCAAACAACATCCCTCAAATAAAGAAACAAGCAACAAGTAAGGAAACTGAACACTAGAACAGCATTCAGAATTGTGTTACGCTTTCGTGTCTTCAGTCCTCTAAGAGCTACTTTTCTTGGGGTACTGGTCACAAAAAAATTGAGAAAAATGAGAAATCTTTCCTTACTTGAGTATGAACATATTTTGGAACCTGTAAAAAGAGTGAGACAATTTTATTTACCTGGTCACGGTGTTGATTCACAGTGTGCAGTGAATGCTACTGCACATAATTTGAAGACAAAGCACGCAAAATATCACTTCATATACAGGAAGCATAGTTAGTAGGTCAGACTACTCACAAGCTCCTTGATCTTGTCCCCTATCTTGTCTTTACTTGTCCAGCAAGTAAACTGGTGAGATCAAAGTTATGTGCAAATAGACACTTTAACTGAATATATTTTTCTTACCCCCTTTAAATTGATTAATATTAAAAATACTTAAATTCATTACAATTAAAGTTTTCTAGTTTGATGCCATTGTTTTAGACAACAGTGTTTGTTGTCTAGGATACTAGACAACAAAGCATAGAGTATATGCATCTTTCTAACTTGCAAAAAAACTAGTAAACTTTTTTTTCATTTTGCATAAGCTGCATTAGAAAACAAATAACTACTCGTTCTTTAATGATCTTTAACACTGATTTAAAAGCACGCAATGACATTTTTTCATAGCAGTTCTTTCAGCATTTTATGGAAATGAAAAAGATTGTCTTCATGAACTGACATGTCCTCCTCTGTAACAGGAATTTAGACTGTTTTGGACAGAACTGAGAGGAACCATGCTCTTCTTTTATGATGATAAGAAGGCACCAAAGGTGAGTGGCATGCTGTCTTTGTAACAGCAGATTGAATCACGTACTTCAGTTATTTTCATTAATCAGTCCTCATGTATTCTAGATAGCTCTCTGCAGCCCTTCCTTCCTCACCCACACAGTCCAGTACTCAACATAGCAACAGGAAGGCTCTTTTTTTTTTTTTAAGCCAGAGTGAAGCAAACAATAGTGTTAATCTGTTTCATCAAAGCAAAAAGGAAGATTTTTTTTTGTTACCTGAGCTAAAAATGTATCCATGTTGTTCCATAACATTATTGCACACTCCTTCCTCAGTTGTGCACAAGGGTAAAAACAGTATCTTGATGTGTAGTATGACCTTCCTCTGTGCAGCAGAGAAAAATGTTCTTGGTATAACCATTGGAAGATTGTGGCTACGGGTTTTGCTGAAGTGAGAAAGCAAGTACGTGGGGAGGTCTCTTGTCTTTAATGTGCTATTAAGAAGAAAGGAAAAAATCCAGAAAGCATGCTGTGGATGGTAAGTTTCTGTAAGCAGAAACAAAGGACTTTGAAATGTCTCTCAATGAAACTTAACCCAACATCTGCCAAAAAAATAAAGTTTCCCAGTATTTTCTTCTAAACAAATTTATTTGAAGAACAGCTATGTTTTGGTGAATTTTTCAACTTGTGCCATTCCTTTTCTTTGTTTCCTTAGTACTCACACAAACTAGATATATCAGCTTTGACCTCAGTAAGCAATGTTTATCCAAATGAAAACGACTCTGCACAGTTCATCCTGATGTTGCTGAATGAAAAACTGGAAGTGAAGGTAAAAAGAGAAAACCTACGATTTATAACCCCTTAGTGCTCTACCTTGTCTACCTTTAGATATTCAGAGCTCCAGGTGGGAGTAAAGCTGTCTTCTTGGCAGCCTGCAGCCAAAAGGGCAGTCAATGAAGGAGGCAGCACTAAGGAACCTAACACCAGCAAAAATCCTCCTTCAGGCATTAGACAGTTTTCTCTGGAGCATCTGGGAACCTAAATAGAGCAAAGAATTGAGCAAAAAAATATGCAAGAAAAAACAAGTAGGAAGTACCCCACTGACAGACTCAGGTCTCCTGTAATATAAAAAGGGTAATAATATATCTGACAAGTGCCTCACCCCATTCAAAAGTTTAGAGACTGTAGGGACTACCTGTAGACTGATAGGGACTACCTGCAAGGTTTTACAACTAAGACTCACCTATCTCCTTAGCTCAGCCTTTCTATTGGATCAACACAACCCACTCCATTTATTCCAAAAAGCTCATGAGTTTTCATCTTCCCACCTCCATCCTCTTTCAATAATTGAATATGGAGTAGTGGAAGTGCAGAGGGTGTGATTTAGTATGACAGGAGGCTTATTTGCAGGCAAGGCACTTCTAAATGTGTGAAAGTTATCTGAGCTTTTACATGAGAATAATACTTGTTCTTCTTTTTGCTGTAGTCGTTCTTACATTCAATTTCTGTTCTCTTAGGCTGATAACTGTGAATATGGGAAAGAATGGAAGGGTTTTATTCTCACCGTAACAAAGGTAGGGAACAGTTTGGTGTCTCACTCAGTACTGAAAGCACGTATGAGGGCTTTCTTTCTTCATATATGCAACAAGTTGGCTTAAAGCCTTGTTTCCAATGTGCTTGCATAAACAAACATGCCCACCCCTCCCTGCAAAGACAGCAGAATTCAGGTTTTTTCACCTCAGCTCATCTGCCATGGTATCCAAACAGCTCCCAGTCCACTATTAGCAAGGAGAGACATCCGCACAAGTCCACCTCCTTGCATCTGTGAGAAAAGGAGCCTGTGCTGAGAGAAACAGCATCTATAAATACTTAGCAAGGGATGAAGAAATAAACAAAGAGATGGCTAAACTGCACATCTGAGAGAACCCACTGAGACCTACCTTATACTCTACCAGGAAAAACAACAAGAGTCTTCATTTCCTATCAGCATCCAGCGGGCACTTAGGAAGAGATGGAACCAGTGATTCCCTATTCTGAATAGCTAGCACTGTCCTTCCTTTGGGGCACCTTTTACTAGTCTAGCAGTCAACACCTGCAGCAGTTTTTTCAGCTGAAATAGTTTAAAAATGGAAAGAAGGAACTTCGATTATTCTAGCTCTGGCTTTATATATTTCCCCTCAATCTCTTTAGACTGATGAACTACTTTTCTCCCCTTTCTCAGTGCTTGAGAGTCCAGGGGGTCATCTCCATGCTTTGAAAAAGGTCATCAGTACTTACTGTAAAATAACTGTCTTATAATCATTTCACGTAAACCCTTAAATGCTGAATGCACTTGAAAAATAGGAAGACTTTCTCTAATAACGTTCAGGAGAAAAGTTTGTTCACAGGTGAGTTTACACTGGTGTAGCTGAATCACTTAAAAAGCTGAGGTTAAGTGAAACAAGCTAAATTTCATAGTGTAGCAACAGCAAAATATAATTGTTCCCACTTTTGTTAGTGGGTATCTCTGGTAAATGAAGGTACAGATGTGTATGTATTCTGCTATTCTAACAAAAACAGATGCACAGCATCTTACTCAAAACATAAGTATACACAAACCTTCCAAACTACCATATCTGCTTTAACCAAGCAGGTACAAAAGACTACCACATGGCAGCTGCACTCTGGAGGTTGCTGTTTCGCACACAGAAAACAGTTGCTCACATTTGTCCAGTCTTTAATTTTCAACTATGCTGTTCATTTTCAGTTGTCAGTTCCACTGGATGAGTCGTTATCACCTGGACAACTTACAAAAATACATGAAGTGCTAGATAAAGAAAAGAAAAGAAGGATTATGCTTAATGACTGTTCCTGCATATCCCAGAATAAAGAAAGCCTTCCCAGCAAGGACAACAGTTGCACAGCAACTGCTATGCCAGCGTAAGTTCTGACTAAAATACGCAAACCTCAGTCCAACTAGAGAGCCTTCCTTTCTTCTTTCCAAGTATTGTTTTCATAAACAGGTTCAAAATTCAACTATTGTACAAAGGTTTAAAATATTCGATGAACAAAATTTACCTTAAGGCCTTTACAGAGATTTCATAACAGAAATTTTACTTCTACAGCTTTTCTACAATGCCTTTTGTTTTGAAAAGGCTGCATGTAGAATATTGCTACGCTTGATAAACCTTTTAGAAAGCCACATGCTGGACCGGTGTATCTGCCCTTCTGAAAATATACTGATTACCATTGAGAAATTCCAGGTAGATCCAGGTTGGTCTCCACACTCTTTGCAAGAGCCCAGAAAGCATCACACTGAACCAAAGTGCCACTTTCTCTTTGAGAAGGGTGAAGCACTGCTCTCCTGTAATAGATTAATCACCACAAATCCTCCAGATATCATGCCCCTTGGCTGCCATAGCTAATTACCTTGGATAAGCCTGACACTGCACTAACCTGGTAGACAGCATTTCTTTGCACAGCTGAGAATAACGTGGCCTTGCAGGTGTAACTTGCATCCATGCTATTTCTCCTCTCCATTCTATGCAGGTGCTTCTATGCAGTATCTCGGAAAGAAGCAACAGAGATGTTAGAAAACAACCCACTGTGTGGGAATTTGATCCTGCGCCCTGGCAGCGACAGCAAGAACTATGCAATCACTGTCCGACACGTGCTGGAGTAGGTTGCTTCCGTAACGCGTTACCCTATTCTTAAGTAGCATGCACTGTATTGAAAGCTGAACTTACAATAGCCACCAAACACATGTGAAATATGTGCCTCAGACTACTTTGAGAAAAGTGGGTGAGCAGGGATGGGCCTGAGACCAATCTATTAATCCTCTGCTCCTCCAAAGTCAGCTTGATTTAAAAAAGAAGCACTAAAGATCAGCCACCAAAAGTCTATTTCCTTAGAACAGTCTTTCCACCTGCTGCCTACCCTTGAAATGCTGCTCAATTTAAGAAATCTTCATGGAGAATAAAACTGAACAGGATGTATCTCTTTCTAAAATTAACAAAAGAAAATGAGAGACAAATATTTTCTAACAGTAACTTGATCTAAAATCACCTTATTTTAACTGGATTGCCACATTCCAGCTTTGCAGAGCTTCAGAACAAGTTCTTCTGAAACACCAGGAATGACATTTGCAAATCCCAGTGTTCCTAGTTTCCTCTCCTAGGAGAGCAAAAGCCTCACCCTGCCACACACACACACACTTCAATAGACTCTGGGGATATTGCGAAGCACACATCCACTGCTCCTGCAGAAGAATTCATAATGACAACATTATTTCATTTCTAGCTACCTGTTGACTTATATTTGATTTCCTTTCAGTGCTCCATGCATAAAGCACTACAGAGTGACGTCCAGAGAAAGAAGTTACATTATTGAATTGGAAAGACAGGTAAATGAACTATTTCCTTGCTGGAGATTCTTAAGCAGGTGTAAAAATTGCTTCTTCACAAAACATTAAAAAAGCGAGAGTCAACTCCTAACTATAATTTGAAAAAAAAGAAGTATATAGATATTTTGCCTCTCGTTAGTGTAACTAACCTAATCATTAAGAATAAGCATAAGAACTAGGATAGTAGGAAAAAAAACCACCCACGTTACACCTCTTCCTCCTACTACCAACAATAAAATCAAAACACCACCACCCACAAAACAAGATTGCTTCACATTTTCTCAGCTAGAGGAAGTTCAAAATGCCAGGATCCAGAAAGCATCACACAGAATCAAAGCGCAACTTTCTCTGTGAAGGGCAAAGCACGGCTTTCCTGTAATGGCTGACTTCTTGAAACTTTCTGAAAGATGAAACTAACTTAGCTGAGGTGTAGTCAAGGATGCCTGGTATGGTTTATGAAAGTGTTTTTTTCCCCCATCACTTTCCCTGAGACTTTGTTTTGCCAGTGTTCTCAGAAACATCCGAATGTTTTGAAAAAGCAACTGCAATTAAACTACCTGCTGATGGCACAAGGGCACATAGACCTAAACCTCTTTGTTTACTCATTCGATGGAAAGAGTTGGGCATTCAAAGCTCAAGTTACAATTGGTTGTGTCCTAAACCTCACAGCATCTAAATGCTAGAGGTAAATCCAGTGTTACTTGTTTGAAAAACACTGCTAGGCACCTCAGGCTGCCAGCATGTTTTCAAAAATGCATTCTCACTGAAACACATGTAGTATGTTTTGTTCGGTGGTGTTTATTTTGTTGCTATTATTTGTGAAACAGGTAACAGTTAAAAGCCTTGAGGATGTCATCAGTTACTTTGTGATCCAAACTCATGGGAACCTGAAGCCTTTCATCATGCAGACATGCAACGAGGCTCTGCAAATGGACCACAATTCTGAAAGTAAAACACAAGAAAAGTCCTGATGAAACAGAGGTACAAAAAGGAGCCACTATCCATCCCGTGGGAAACTGGAGATTCAGCCTTCAAAACAAATACCCGAAGTGGTCAGCAGCAGGACCAAAATTCAGTATTTTAAGCCTCTAAAGCACGCCACGCACTGTATCTGACTTTTGCCATACAAGATGATTCACTTATTTAGAAGACAGTTTTGATGGTGCAGTTATCACTGCTGTAACTCACGACAGGTTTAACGCTGAACCTAAATAAGAATTCCACACAACGGATAAACACCTGCTCTAGCTATTGCATCAGACGACACATTTATTAAAATAAACCTCCAAAAGCTATCTGGTCAAAACAAATCACCCTTTAGATGGACGTTCAGATTGCTGTCCTGTACTGCAGCAAAGCCTATTTTCTGTAATTACAGAACATGTGACAATTAACAGGGATGGACAGACCTTTCAGGTAGAATTAAGCCCGTTGCATTTGGTTGAAATACAGTTCTTTTCTTCAAATAACTTCTATACAGACAAAACATTTCTAAAGGCAGAAGGAAGATTATGAATGTCAGTTTACCCAAGACCCTTGCTTCTATTTGTTACAATTTAGATTTACATACAAGCCCTGTATTATTTCAGGATGTGAGATTGTGACATGGTGTCACAGGTGCCTCTGTATTTGCTAGAACTGTAGCACGTTCACAAATTCACCGCATGTATTTGGAAAAGGGAGAATGAAAACACGCTCTTTACGGGGAAAACCAGTGCTCTTTATTATGGGGAAACCAGTGTAAAAGGCATTTGAATGAGAAAGATCTTTAATGCTAATTTAACATTTAATCTTTGTAAATCAACTGCTCTCGCAAAGAATATATTGAAGGATTGCTCAATGTACTTGAGCACAAAGGTAGCTGCTTCCTCATTGTTACAGGGAGATGCCTTGTTCAAGAACGCAGCATCAGTCCTAGACACTCACAAGCTTTCGCTACAAAGACCAAAAGCAGTTCTGAGATCCAGGTGGTGTCACACATCTCTGCACTGGCAGCACTACACCAGTACTGACAACAGTGCACATCTGGAAAGAAAAACTCCCAGCCCACAGCTCGCTTGCCCAGTTTGAGTGAGCCCACTGAACACTTGCTGGAAATGCTGGCAGAAAGCAGTACTTGATTGAGAAATGGGCTGCAAACAAATCCTCACTGAATCACCTAACTTCATGTGAGTGAATGCATTTACATCACAGCTATCAGCTACTCAGAAAGCTATTCATTTCAAAATGTGAAAAAATGTTTTAAGAGCCAGTTGACGTGCACACTTCGATATGAAGTTCCCTTAGGTAATATCTTGTTAAGAAGTTAACTTACTTTCAGAAGATTTTAAAAGTCTGCTAGAAGTATCTGGAGATACTCTTTCTCAGTTTTTCTGTTTCAAATTGAGAAGAACCCATCTGTGGAATGGACACAAATCCTACATACACTCAATAAGAGCAGTATCAGTCAGTTCTGCTCCAGCCTACACGTGGAATTTTTAGCAAGGGTCTCACAAAGCTGTATGCACTGTTATCTGCAAGAGTCATTCTGTTAACTTTACCTGATGTCCCTCAGGTAGCCTTCAAGCAAAATAGTGAGACTAATACTAGTTTGCTCTGCTGCATACCTCAAAAGCAGGAGCACACCAGTGTGTGCACCCACTCAGAAATTCATTTCTTTCCCCAGCTCATAGCTGTGAGAGGTGACAGTGCTTTGTTTTAACCTGACCATTTAAGTAAGTGATCCTTAGTAATAATCAGCAATTTTAGTTTAGGCTCTAATGTTGTCACAGGCAAACATATTGCAGCTGTTATTTAAAGTGCAAACTTACTGTCTTGCTTGCGCCGCCTTTGCGCTCCAAATGTAATCTTTTGTCCAGTTTCAAAAAATATTAAGTTTTTATTTAAAGAAATAGGCTACTTTAAAATGTACTATTACTAATCTAGAAAATGAGATCTATGAACTCTACTGACTGTAAAACTATATATACCTTCACAAATATATTCCACATGTAAGACTAAATCCCAAATAATTGTGTTGATTCCAGATATTCAGTTCCATATATCTCGTTGTTCAAGTGACCAGCTTAATATCCACTGCTTCTGGCTACAACTGTCTGAGAAAGGAAAAACAGGTAAAATTCCCATGCAATAATGTTCATTAAATGTGAAAATATCCCTAAATCTTAATAAGAGATGCTCAAGGATAAATGGCTAAGTAATCAACACCCTTTTGCAACATCTGGAGGATTCAGAGATGAGAATTCTCCATTTCTGAAGCTTAAAAACATCACAAGGTTTTTTCTAGTTTGTAGGATCTGTTTTTATCCTAACCCCACTTCACTCTCATCACTAGGGAATAATAAAATAAAGCTACCCTCAACCCCACCCAAACTATCAGCTTCATTATCTCATGTATAAAAGATAATGTGGTGTTATGGTGCTTCTGTAACGCACCTCTGCCTCCTGCAATGTAAAATTAGTTTTTAATTATTTAAGCATATTCTTTATACCAGATATCCTACTAACAGATTGAGATGATGCCAATTCAGTGCACTGCAACTCAGACTCACACTGCGGACAGGTGTACAGCATAACCATTCACTATAAAGAAATGGTACCAGAAGGAGCAGCCAAGGATTTGCTTGTGACAATCATCCAGGGCCATTTGCCTTTACCTCTTTCGAAGTAATTTCTTGCCTCAGTACTCTTAATTAGGTAAGGGCAGAAAGGCTCAACCACACCGACTATTTTCTCTTTCTTGAAGACAAAGTTTTATTGTCCAAAGTGTTAACTCAGCTCTCCGATAGGGTTCCACTTTCCCCATATTGCAGTTTTCCCCGACGAACAGTCTTAGTGCATACAGTGAACAACTCCAGCTGCCTTGATTTCAGGGAAGTTATGACAATTTACACCTATTCAAGACCTGGCTCCCTACGTTGCCATACAGAGACTGACAGAGCAGCCACTCTGACATGCGGCATCACTTACAGTTCAGAAGAGAGCACCATCAACGAAACAGAAAAATGCATTTGCCATTTAAGTGGATGTTTAAACATTTTGAATGGATTATCTCTCATATGGATGCCAAGTCTGAATTCTCATTTGAGAATGAAGTAACACGTGAAATGGATTTGACATGTTCTTAGAACACCAGGAGTATCATAAGATAGCCATTTCCCCAGTTTTTGTACTCTTCTCTGAGCAGCTCAACTTATACACAAGGACAATTCATTCCGTTCACCACTCTTCTTGCTTTCTTCAGCTCCCCACTAATGAACATAAATCTTGTTTTTAAGGTAAGGACCGTACTGGACATTCCATCTTGTAGAGTGACCAATCCTCCTTTGAGCAAACTAGTTTGAAGATAATGGGAACAGATGAAACAAATCCAGTTTGTCTTCAGCGCAAATCCACCAACTTTCATCATTTGTTTTAATTAAGGCTTCACCCAAAAAAAAAAAGAAAAAAAGGATAGTACCATCTTTAATAGCTGAAAATTAGCACACTCCTTTCAAAACAAATGGTCCTGGAGTGACTTCTGTATCTCTACCATCAATTGTCTTCCTGAACAAAGTAGTATCTCACTGGTGGCCCTGGCAAGTCTTCATCTCCATCAGTCTCTGGAGCAAACGATACTGTCAAGTCCACATACTTTTTGTCAGCTGATGGCTTCACAAGCTTTTGCATCCTACAAGGAAACAAATAACAGTTTAAGATAAAAGAAGGAATTGCAGTGTGAATTGAGAGCCAAATAAGGACTAATTTCATTACCAGAAACCACAACAACAGAGCATGAGGCTTCTTTTAATGTCAACATAAAAGTTGTTCCTCCCTTTCAGCTACAGCAAATAGCATTCTGCTACTTCTGACAAACTTTTCAGCCTGCTAGTGAGCTACACTGCTCACTAGTGCTCAGTACAAACAACAGGAAATGGGCAGTTTCAGATGGGATTCCTCATGCACATGATTTCTCATTGACATCCTACTGAGATACAAGACAAAATTAGTTTTCTGCACAGAATTCTGGTTGGGAAGTAGGATCAAACTCTCGGCCCATCCACAGCGGCAGCTTTTAGTACTTTATTAGGGAGACCCACTCCAGTGCAAATATCAGATGTGCAGTTCTCATGGAAAGTGATTCTGTTGAAATTAAGACTTTTCAAGTCCTTGAATTCTGAAGGTGAATAAATAGGAGGGGGGAAAAGCATCATCTTTAATGACCACAAAGTGAGGTCATGAGATGTTTCAGTGCTGCTTCCCCTTTTAGCTCCCTGTACTCTTATTACTGCAACAGAAGCCTCAAAAGATACTGCTAGCACTGTGAAGTTGCACAATAAATACTTCAAGCTCACTTTCATTACCTATCTTTAGATGTCTCAGAACTACTTTCTCGCTACTTTGGAACACTAGTTCACAAGGCCAGCTCAAATGGCAGCAGGCTTGAAGAACACTTTCATTCTGATTCCCTGTAGGACACGAGAGAAGCATTCACTTCTTACTATAGTTTAGGATGCAGGACAGAAAGCTGCTATCCCTGATGTACTTGTTCTCTTGCAAGAACACAGAGTTAGCCTCTTTTCAGCAGAGGTATTGATGTCACATACATTTGCATGAGGAAATTTCAAGTTACAGAGCAAGGTGATAACCACGTCTCTAAAACCTGTTTCTGAGGCGTATGCTACCAGTGGAAGCTGAAATTCTGAAATGAGATGGTCTAGTAATGCTTGTTGTCATATTACAGAATCAGAGGATCATTTTTGTTGAAAGGGTCCTTCAAAGACCATCTAAGTCAACCACTCCTCACATGGCAAGAACATATTTCACTAGATCAAGTTGCTCTAAGCCCCACCCAACTTGACCTCAAATTTATGTCAAGGGATAAGCTACCCAAGAAGAAAGATTTTAAGCATCTCAAAAACAACAACAACAAAAAAACAACACACAAACAAGACCAGAGTTTGCTGTATATATCTTACAATGCTTTTGGGACTGCTTGTAACAGCATCCCAAAAGAGTGGTAACTACACAGAAAGCTTGAATAATGTCTGGGGGTTAACAGAAATTCTGAATATTATTACAAAAGGCAGCTTCAAACCATGCCTTTGATTTTGTTATACACTCCAGTCAGTCAAAATTACAGCCATGTAAGAAGGAACATAAACAATTTATTTTGAGGTAGGCTATATGCCAGGCACCCTAAAGGTAGCATCAACTTCGGACTCTTCTCCCCATCAAAGTCATCCCTTTGCTCACATGTATACTACTTTCTCTCAAGTAGATCTTTTGTCTCAAGCAGACAACTGATCAATGCAACTATTTACTCAGCAATGTCAGTGAGCACTGACCAGCATATGCTCCAGAAGAGCTATGATGGACAAATTTTGAGCTAGCAAAGTTCAATCAACATATATACGAATCACATCTAGCTACCCTTTTGCAAAGGCCTAGCAATAAAAAAATAATGCTCTGCCCTCATACCTTCCAACTCGATGTGCCCTGATTTCCTATCAGGACACATCACTACAAACCCTTGCAAACTTTTCAGTTTGAAAGGGCTGAAGTGAGCTACAATCTGAAGGAATTACCACAAACTTTAACAGACTACCATAAATCTCAATCTGCAACCAACACGTTCATTCCTTCCTGAATGTCTTCTGCTTTCTGGACTAAGCTGATAAATATCACCATGAGTTCTAAGCCTGATTAAAAAGGATCAGTTTGTCTTATTCTGGTAAAATCAAAGCATATTATTTCTCCCCAAATCGTTTAAAAATCGTTTAGAAGAGTCTGTGTGGCATTAATTAGCAGGTCCATTTCTTGGTATATTTATGCACTGCTGTGTTTCACAACACCGTGATGTTTGGCTTCTCATGCTAGCGTCCATCAGTTAGAGCAGCATTTTGCAAATCTCCTTCCTCAACACTAAGTCAACTTACCTTTTCCTCCAGCCCCCAAATATTCAATTCCCAAATATAAGTAACTAGCAAATGCTTGGGGAGAAAAACACTGCTGTCAGACCCACAATCTTGAGTTATACCGGTCAACACGATTTGTAGGTGCACTCACGTATCTAGATCCATTTTCCAGTTATACTTACGTCAGCTTTAACCTTTTAATGTGACCTGGCATCACAGGAACATACAGCATTTTGACTCCCTGTACAACCATAGTTGGTTCAATTCCGTATTTCTCCTGGAATTCACAAAGCACAGTAAAGGACTGCGCTGACTGCACAGACCAGCAGGTACAACTGATGTTCAGACTACATCTAATGACTGAAAACTACAGATCTCAGGCAGAAAATATGCTAATGCATGGACACTGATGTGTTATTAATATACAATTGAACGAGTGGATTAACAAAGAACTTGGGATGTATTTTACTTAGACTCAACCTCCCATTAACATCAATTTTTTCTAGAATTATTCTGGTTTAAATAATAATTTGACAAATGCAAAAAAGCCAATAATCCCAAACAAGAAGATTCTATCTTCTCATCTTGCATTAACCCAGTGCAATAGGCATCTTACTCTGACAGCGTTTATGAAGTCCAACAGTGTAAAATCCTCCTTTCCATAAATTGTCCACCTGTCCCAGATGGTAAATGATATCCCATTTCTGTTTTGAAGAAAGAATGATTCTTTGTTACTTTAGAATGTGAACTCAGGCATTTCCTTTAACTATATATCAAAAAATTGCTACCTCTTCCCATGATTTGCAGTTTTATCTTAATCTCTTCCCTCCCTGATGCCACTTCTCCAGCTCTTTCACCTGCCTAAGCACAAGACAAAACCTGACTCCAAGTGAACACAGTATTGGGTAATGAATTTTCTGTTTTCAGGCCTGTTGAAAAACAGGTTTTGTACTGACCACATGTTCCAGTCTGAGCATGCAGGATGTTTATTAATAAGCAGGTGACACATTTATCTCATCTAGATTTTTAGAGCCTAGCTACCAACAGCTTCCACTGAAAACCAAAATAAACCCTTAAAACCACTAGTTTTAAAATTAGGACAGAAGTGTTTATCAGCTGCATTTCCAAACAAGGAGTTCTCAAGAGATGCATTATGGGACATCCTTGGCAGTACTGAGAATTTCAGTTACACTGTTAGTAGTAAATGGTTAATGGAGCTGGATAGCAAGCACTAAGTGACCAATCTTCAACCTCAAATATCTGTAACATTTGACTAGAATTTGAATGCAAACTTTGATTCCACCGTATTTCTGCTACACGCACACATACAGCACTGATCTGATTGTGAACTTAATAACTGTACATGTCTTGTGCTTGTTTTCAGTGAGAAATAGCATGCTTCCAGAATATTACCCTCTACCATCATCCTTCCTACCTGATTTCAGTTCTTCTTACTTTAGCTGTTTCTGTGAAGACCATTATGGGAATGGCTAGGTTCAGAAAACAGTTCTTGTATGCATCAGCTGGGTAGCCACCCACAACTTTGATGAGTTCCAGTGCAACCTGCAATAAACAAAAATCACGTGTTTCCTAAGACCAAAAACAGGTGTTGTATCATCAGCACTAATTTAGTTAACAGACCACACAACAATAAGCAATATGCGTTGTTGAGATGAGCCTTTGTACAACCCACAGATTCAATTGCATATGAAGATGCAAACCAAATACGCCACAG